AGGGAAATGGAAAATTTTATCATGTACTTTGCCAACAGTATTTTTGTGTTCATGAGGCCAAAACACATTTCTTCTGATCTTTTAAAACAGATAGTAGTCTTTTGTTGCAAAAGAGGGGTATTTCCATGCTGCAAATAGGATGTAAATACCATAAGATTGTTTTTAGACACAGCCATTTCAAGTTGCACTGAAATTTTTGCAGAAGAATTTCCTCATATAACAGCCCTTCTTTCTAATTACAGACTCTAGGATTGTTAGGAATTGGAAATCCAGCAGAGAAGGCATTTGTGGTAGAATTAGGTGTTGAAGCTTATGGAGTTTTGAATCTACCAAAAAAAAAAAAAAAAAAAAAAAAAAAACGACAAAGGTAACAAAGAACAGACTGTGTTTGATTACCAGGCTATAAACCTTAGCATGGAGTGTTTAAACATGGAGGAACAAATTTTCTAACAGGCTGGTGCTATTGTGTAAGGATGGATTTGAGCCAAACTCCCAGATTTGAAACGCCATGAACTTCAGTAGGCCCAGGCCAATCCTTGGCTTAGGTTCATCTCAAACATTGTAAGCACAGAAAAGGTGTTTGAACATTCACAGATTCATGGTAGCACTTGGAGATCCAAAAGGGGGGAAGGTTCATGCATTATCTGTTCACTATCTGCTCACACAAGGGGCGTATCAGTGCCAATATGAACATTTGTCCACTTGATCATTATGAGAACATTTTAAGAGCATCTTTGAAAGCGTACTGCAGCGAAACACGAAGGGTATGTTTCTGGAATTTATCCTCAGTACTCGAATTGATTACTAAGTAGTTTCTTTAGTGGGAAGAGCTTTATATGGCTTCTCTAATTTTACCCAAATAATTAATCTCTTGGACATTGTTCTCACCTCTGTGATCCCCTCGGACAGCCCTTTCCTGTAATGACAGCTGACATCAGGTTTCGGGTTCGCACGATGGATTCCTGCTCAGAGGACAACTGGTTTATTACAGGTTTAAGCAATACTGCCTTCAGAATAGGGACCGTAGTGGGTAGATTTCAACAACTTATCAATTATACCCAGACCAACTGGAGAGATTTATGTGCTGGTTTTAATAAGTATTGTGCTCATTTATTTGCTTTCTCTTTTGCAACAGAGTAAACTTTGGTTTCCTCTGAGTTGTGCAGCTGCTGTAAATGGTAATAAGACAGCAGTGTCAGTCACAGTAGTACTGTGATGGAGACACGCATCCTGCACTTGCTGCATCTGAGGGTTGTGTCTGGAGCTGGAGAGGGGAAAAGTTTAACAGGAAAATGAACTACATGCAATTACCAATTTATGGGGAAGCTCATAAGGAATCCAGATGGTGGTGGCATTGGGTTGTTGAAACTGTTCTTCTGAAGAAACTAGAAGAAATTTAAAAAAATGCACATGCAGTATTCAGTTAGCAGAAGCTGTCAGAACATCCTAGAATATTTCTTAAGAATGTAATTGCCAACTTTTACATTAAATATACTTTGTGTATGTTTCCTGTGGAGAAGCCTGAATGAGCATTTATCACCGGGGTAGCAGCACCAGTGTGAAAGATGCAGGAACACATGGAGATATGAATATTTTATGGTTCTGTGGCAGAGCTGTTATCAGACCATGCCACCTCCTTGAAACGAGCTGTCTGTATGACACTGAGTTGTGATTTATGCCAATTTGCTTGACTGCAATGTGGGACCTGCCAAGGTCCATCCCATGAGCAGCTGCAGCGAGCTGTAGATGATATTAGAGCAGGTAGAAGATGATTTTGCAGTTCCATGCTGGCAGAAGTGGGGCAGTGTGGGTCCGTCCACTTCTCAGAGTCAGGTGTGGAGTAGCGAGGAGCCTGGGGAGAAACAGCTGTGAGTTTTGGCTTGAGATTGAGTGATGTTGTATTGTCACAGTTGCAGATTGTCATAACAATAAGTCACGACAAATACTGTGGTGCAACTCCAGCTTGTCCTGACTTCACCATTTTCCGTCTCTCTGCACTTCTTCAGAATTATCTGGTAAAAGCTAAATGCTGTTAGTCTAGGTCTGGAAATGAAGATGTTTTTGTGAGCAGTTAGCACAAAAATAAAAAGGGGTAGCACTCTGTCCAGATTGCCATCATTAAACTCAAAGGCTCTCCAAGCAGAGAAAGCTGTTAGTGGTGTGTATGCAAGCCTGCGGGCAGACACAGGGTACAAGCACTTGGGAGTATTTCTCTGTTCCTTTTTCCAAAACTAGCATTTACCTGTGCTGCATGGCTGCATTGGTTGCATACAGATCTCACAGTGAGTTGTTTCCTAGTTTACTCTCCCACATTCGCTCTGCACACCTCGCAACACCAATATTACTAACTTAAAAGCTCCAACAGAGATATGAGCCCTGGTATGCCATGTCTTAGGAGATCCCTCTTATCCCAGGAAGTGTACTGACAGTCTCTGAGCTAAATTGAAAGCTTTGTCCTTTGTCTATTCAACTGTAATTCTTCCTCTTTTTAATATAATTTGGTCATAAGCTTCTAATAATATGAGACATAAACTGTTTGATCTTTATCAAAATCTGCACTAAATTGTTAGAGCTCTACAAGGTTAATACACGCACGACGGACTATTGAAACAAGCTGCTGAGAGAGCTTTGTCATATCTATGTACCAAACATTTCTCTGACTCATACCCCCACATACCCCCTGCAGTGATTTTGTAAGTCAGGGCAAAATTTAGACTACTATTTGTTATCTGATATGTATTTCTAAGACATTGCCAAACAAAAAGCTAAATTTAAAAACTATGACTTTTGTTGTTGGGGGTTCCAGACATGCCAAAGGAACATGTGTCAGCAATTTTAGTCTTAGCAGCCACGTAATTATGAAGTATGCTTATTATTATAAAAGCTATTGGATGATAAAAACTGAGACATTTCTCTCACCTGTTTGAGTTACATTTACTGTCACTGCTTTTTGATTATTAGTGTCACTTCAAGGATTTGTACTGGAATGGAAAAAAAAAATATGCACAGAAACGCCTCTTTTGTTTATGTGTATGATAAAGTTATTGTGTCCAAAGAGGAAAAAAATGCTTTTAGTGGTTTTATTTGCCCTGTAGGCTTATATGGACAGCCATTGAGTCAAGGGGATAGAGAAATAAACTGTGGCTTTGGGTATAGAAAATGAGATAGAGACACAGACACTCTCATGCAAGGGAGGGAAGTGTGCTTGAACCTCGGATCCATCCTATGTCATAGGATCAGTGTAACTGAGCTGGGAAATATGGTGGTATGATTTTTGCCAGCTCACACCTGAATCATACACCTATATTAATATATAGCCCAGTGCTCTGAACTGAAGCATCTTTAGGAATTGCTCCCAGGCTTGTTAACTTCTTAACCATCTGAGATACACCATGGAGATACACCAAATGGCACAGTCTGACCTTCTATTGACAAGAATGGCTTTCTTCCAGAAGAAGTTATCTTTAGTATACCTTAGGAATAAAATGCTACTGCCTAATTTCTTATCTAAAATACTTATCTTTAAACTGTTTTGTAGTGATTTTATTCCCATTCATGGATGGAGGTAAGTATTTTCAGTTAAAATAATTCTGAAATTAGTGTTTGGCAGTAGGGTTATTTCAGAACTTAATTTTTGGACAGAGACTTTTGAGGAAATCTGGTGAGGGAAACTTTGAACGTATTCTGCATGAATTCTTCAATTTAACACAGTCAGAGTATAGTATCTTATACTGCTGTAAACTAGTTGTATCATGGTAAAGGCTTAGTCTTGTACGGATATAGAAAGATCCTGTGCCTACCTTAAATATGTAGGTTTGCTCATGGCTGTGTGTCATCAGCACTGGTGGCTGTTGTTTAATTGTCCGGCAGCTGTTCCACTGCATTTCTCTTGCCCACTGTCACTTCTGTGGCTGTATCCAGCCCTGAAGCATTGTGGATCTGGGCCAGTGGTTCATTTCTAGTCTGTGTTACTAACGTGCAAGATTTTGCAGTCGTCTGTTAGCAATTGAGCTGTAGATGCAAAAGTCCATTCTGTTGGTTCTTTGGTGATAAACAGTAGGACTCTAGGTGATACCCTGTACCTTGCCATCACTGACCTGAACCTATCTGTAGTAGTCACTGCCTTCTGTTTTGTCTCAGGAGAATGGAAAGATTAATCTGTAATCGCCTTGCTACCTTTGTTTTTTAATAAAGACCTCCCCCAGTTTTCTGTAGGAGCATTAACTCAGTGCTCCCTCCATCCTGTCCTCTCCTGAGATGACTTGGTTGCTGTCATCCCTTTTCAGTGCTGTGTCTGTGGGGTGAGATTCTGAGGTTTGTAGTCAGCTTCTGATGATCAGCAGGGTTCAGCCATGGACCTTGTGCAGACTCGTGTTGCTGTGTGGTGAGTCAGATCATCTCACCGATCCGGCTGAAAATTAACCTTAAAATATGCTGACATATCAGGTCTTTGTCAACTCTGAAAGGGCCCCACCACACGACCTGCTGTGACATATCCTGCATCTCATCATCAAGGAGAAAACCTTGGTCGTATGTATTCCTCACCAGCACTGCAGCCCTGAATATGTGAGGTGGTGTTATGGTGAGAGTGTTCTGGGTAGACACAAGAGCACAGGGAAGGAGGAGCAGCTGTCAGGGAAATGATGCATGTTGCTTTATCCACAGTTCTGGTAAAGAGGGGAGCAAGCAGTTCAAGTCGAGAAGCTATGCTCGCTGTCATTGTCCTCTCTGCCTCTAGATATTTGACCCTGCCTTGGAAGCTGATCCTGGGCCAACCGAGAAGAGAGCCATCAGTGTTGTGACTCAGAGTCAGCTTTGCTGAAATCATTAGTTAAACCAACACATAAGTGATGTGAGACCAGGATCAAGAATTTTTGTTGGCATTTTTCCCCCAACTGGGCTAACGGCATTTAGCTTATGAATTTATTGTCATTTTAGTCTGTAGTAAATGGAATTAAATTTATGCACTGAACATCAGTTACTCTCCCTGACTTTTCTAGGACGAATCTTGGACTTGAAGACTGGAACAGTAAAGAAGGAGGGTCAGCAGTCCTCCATGAGAATGTGCATGGGATCAAGGCGCTCTTTCATTTGCAGGATGAGGTATGCATTTACATTGTATTCCTGTGATAGTTCCAGTCCTGTCTCAGATTAGACTTCAGACGTTTTGTTTCACTGATTTGACCTTGCTTAAAAAACAAAGCTGTAATCACACACTCCCATTAAGCGTTTCCAGAATGCTTGCTTTTGGAATGGGAGTAAAACTGAAACCTGTCTTCCTTTATGATTAGTGACAAAACAGCACCTCATTTGTGCGTTGCAGTTATTTTTATCAGTGTGGGGTGTAGGATTCTTTCCCCAGAGAACATCATGACAACTTCAACCCTGGAATGTAAGGCATTGTCTCTTCTAGTCAAATTGTTCGAATCAATACTTTGGGAACAAAGCTTTTGCAAGTGTAATGAAAGCCCAACTCTGTGTATTTTTTCAGCAAACCAATAATATTAAAAGAATCTTGAAGACAAACAGGAATTCAGTTGCAAACTTGCCAGCTATGTAGGAATTAACCTAAGCCTGGTATGAATTAACCAGATGTCAGCTGGTTGATGCTAGATAAATGAGTAATTGTTAGAGGGTTTTTATTTTGCAATTTTCCAACTTCTCCTGCATTGCTTGGGCTTCTTTAAAGACATCTGCCTGCCCAGTGCTTCTGACTAGGGCTTGTGGGCACTTTTGTTGTTGTAGTGCTAACAGGCTAAAATGCCTGTTGCTATTGCAATAAATTTCTCTCTGTGTGGTTAGGGGGGGAAAGTACATAATTGCATCTGCAGCCTATATCCTATATGTGTTGAAAACAGATGATGCAAAATTTATTATGGAATGAAACATGCAAAGCAAAATATTTGACATATTACAACAGATGCCTGTACTTGTTTATGTGGTGGATTTTCTTCCAGTCATGTGAGGAAGCTGAATGTATGGCTCTTGGGTGCCTTTGTTAAGGGTTTTATATAGTCCATACCTGCAAGATTTGACTTCAAAGTTGTAGATCCTTTTCCCCCCTTAACTGGGGGGAAAGAAATACAACAAGACAGAGAGACACTTGGAACATTGCTTTCTCTTCCTCCAAACTGCACATAGTTGTCATGTGAGGAGGACTTTTTTGTGAAAAGAAAACCAGACCTAATCTCTTGTTTGCAGTTGTTCCCCAACTTTTAAAACAACATTTCATACTGCAGTTATTTCCTAGCATCCTGATTCTGTAAACACCAGTGCATGAGAGTAATTTTGTACATGCCAGTAGCCCCATTGTTTTTGTAATTCTAAATCTTATTTTAATTGTTCATTCCTTCTCCTTGGCAGTGACTGATACTTAAAAAAAAAAAAAAAAAAGAAAAAAAAAGAGAATAATAATAATTAAAAAAAAACTTGTGGGAAGAATGAGCCTCAAATAATGTGAACTTTCCTTGTGATTACTTCTTTCATTGTTATTGTTCTTTCTTCCATTGAAAATGAACTGGTTTTACCCTTCAAACTATTTACTTAGTTTCAGATGGATTGTTAAAATTACACAGTTAGGCATAGTTAGAAATATCACAAAATATACGTGAACAAGTGTTAAACAAAGTTACTTGACAGTGTAAATAGTCTGCTCTTGAAAACATTTGATTAATATCTACTAACATTGTAGCTGGTGTATGGCAGTTGAAATGCTCTGTCCAGGGAAGCTACTGGAACACTGAGATTTGTTTTGTGTGGGTATCTGGGGGCCTGACTTACATTTTTTTTTCTAGTTTTCACCCTTGTATTATAGTATTTTGAAGTGTTATCTGTTCTTTAGCCAGTGTTGGAATATCTATTTCAAATAGTCTTTAGGTTTGGGGGGATAGGAGGAAATCTTTCTGTAATCTCTTCTATTTTTCTTTTCAAAATAAAGAAAATATTTGTAGCACACCCAAAAAGTTGAGCCTGTGGAAGCAGCAAGTTTTAAGAAAACATGAATCCGCAACTTTCTGTCAGAAATAAATATCCATTATTGTCTACTTACATATACTAATAAAGATCTTAAAATGCATTTTCATCCTGGGTATTTATATTCATATTTGAGCCCTTTCAAATATTAATTTACTTTTAGGTGTGGAAATGCTCCTCTGGATCATTTACCTCTGAACAGAATAACCACCATGAGAAAAAGATACAGGTATACTTTTACTTAATTTACCACATCAGTTAGCTGCCATAAGCACCCTCATTTTCCACTGGGCTAATGCTGAATCAAGGAGTTGGCAAACTCCCTGGACAAACATCTGCATCCGTGCACAGTATAAAATAGCACTTCCAAGAGTATTATGGAAAACAAGTAAGGCTGGAATAGCTTTGTAATGGAGTTGACACTGTACAGAACTCATAGGTTGACAGTTGGTTATTTCTAACTAACAAATATCAGTAAATCATTAGTAGTAGTTTAAAAACATAAAGCTATTCTTTATGTCAATCAATGTGATGGTTTTGTGTTTCCTTTTTGTTTAGGAATGGTCTTGGCCCAGTAAAAGAAGGTGAAGCACAGTATGCTGTAGTCCATTGCACTGGATACATCAAGGCTTGGCCACCAGCAGGTATGTATCTATCTCATTGAGCTATCTGCAAGGCAGTTGAAAACCTGGCTTGGGATCCCTTTGCTGGTACAAAACGAGGCTGAATTTCAGTGGAGTAATGCATTCAGTCTCATATTGAGAATGATATCAAGATGATTTGATATCAAGAGATCAGCTGGTTTTACTCACTCTGGGCATCCCCGTTTTATCATGTGAAACCCTTCTCGGTTTCATTGGCACAGAGAGCCATAGAAGCTGTCAATAATGTGGGATTATAGCAGCTGAGACCAGAAATTTTCAATCTATAGACATAAAAATGACCTAACTTCAGGAAGGTAAACACAAAGCATTTGTACCTCTAGAAATCACCAACTAGTGCTTTTGTGTTTTAAGTACAAAGTTGCAAGCACCTGTGTATAAAAATGTGTGATTTCAGTTAAGATGCATAGTTCTTCACACGGGTGATGTTAGTGGAAAATGTGCAGTGTTTGTGATAAATTCTGTTTTGAGGCTGTTTTTCTGGGAAACAAGTCTTGGCGTACTGCTTTGAACTACAGAGAAAAACATTTACCTACTGCAATTCCTTATTACATATGGGAATATTCACCTTTGAAAAATTCAAAGAGGAGACAGTGGAGCTCATCCAGACATCATCATGAACTGGGTTAGTTGACCTTGGCATTTGCAGTAGTTGAAGAGGCTGTTTGCAATACGACAGCGCCTGCTGGCATGAATCAAACCATGAGTTGTCCTGCCCTTTTGCGGTCGTATACCACAAGCATAAATCACATTTGTCCAAGGATTATGAATGCTAAGAGGTGGTTTGCACCAAGTCTGTGCAGTGGTGTGCAGACACCAGCATGCGGATGTGAACTCGTTGTTGATTTCCTGCTGAATTGCAGTTTTGGAAGAAGGGGAAAACCTCCCCTGTTGTTGCTAGTAGGATTTAATATACTTCAGTGTGCTGTAGGAGTCAGAATGCTTACATTTCATTTCTGTCTCAAAAGAGTGAGAGCACAGTGTGTGTAAATTGCTCTGTTTATAAATACAATATTCATTATATTACTAAGGGGTTGTTTTGTTTTGTTTTCTTCCACAAAGAGATTAATTTTCCTATTGGTAATTCCAAACATAACTGAATTCAGCCTTGATATACGGGATGTCTCTTCAGGAAGAATCAGGTCAAATGAGATTTTTTTCAGCTCCTTGCTTAGCTTGAATTAAAAGCTTGCTGCATGTTATGGGACGTTTAAAGAGCTCTAACCCTTCAGGGGTGTATGTTGCTAATGCAGAGCTGCAAATGCATGAACTCATGTCAGCGCTAGGTTACAACATCAGCAGTATATGACTTCCAGCCACCATTTCTGCAGGGGAGCAGGCACTGAAGTGCAGGAGCACGGGATGGAAAGGATCTTCTAGTGCCCCCTTGCCAGGTATCACATTGCAAGAGCCAGTTTATGTTAATGAAGTGTTTTCCCTGTCTCTAGCTCTTCCAAAACCTCACTGCTCTCCCATGCTTAACAACCTCTCTGATTTCCAGTCCTCAGTAGTTTATGGGAAGTTTATGCCAGTGTATTCTTGGACTATATTTCACTGAAGATCAATCAGGAGTTTTCTTGCCTTGTGTCTCTGTCTCTCTCCCAGAGTTCTGGTGCATTTCCAGAAGGAGATCATATCCTGCCAGCCTTGACTGCACAGTTAAGCCAGCCCACTTCTAATCTCCGTTCTCAGAATGCATTCTCTTCTTTATCTTTGTGTCTTTTCTCTTCACTTGTTCATGTTTTCACTTAACGTTTCAAAATGTGGGTCACTGGCACTATGCACTCTCGTTCCAGATGAGATTATAGTGATGTATAATGAAAATGATATTTCCTATCTTGACTGGCAGTATAGGATAAAACATTTTGTATAGTGAAGCCTACTGGCTTCCTAAATGCCCTGATACATATACCAGGCTGCCTTTGTCTCAGTTGTCACCTCAAGATCTTCCAGTTCACAGCAAACATAGCTTTGAATTGTGTGATCTTTCAATTAGTAATACGAAGTTTCATCCCGTTTCTGTTGCTGTAGTTTATGACTGTTATTAGTCCCCAAGTGCATGCTTATGCATTTAGTAATGTTGAATTTCATCCCATTTCTATTACTCCATTCCTCAGAATCACATGGTGCTCCCTTATGATATCCCAGTGCTCCTCCACAATGTTAATGCCTCCAAACTATAGCACAATCCTAAGGGATGTTTTTGATTTTCACAGCCTTATGTGGAATTTCAGTGGTCTTTTATGTTACCATCCAAATTGTTATTCCTAATAGTCATGCCAGAGTGCCCTTTTTGGGGCTTATAGTACTGAATTAGGGCGTCTGTCATGAGTGTTTATTTGCCCTCCCAGTCTTCCCCACTTTGTGTTGGTGATTATCATGTATCCATTGACTTCTGGAGTTGAATGGGAATATCCATGGGCCGAATTGGTCCCAAATTTTTGCGTAAAGAAGTGGCAACATCACTGCATTAGTTCTCATTTCCAATGGTAATTCAACCATAATTTGCAAAGCAAATGAAATAACTGCAGCAGTAATTGAATTTGCTAAGGCTTTTCTACCCTGTAATAAAATTACTTTTGTTCAAATCAGCTTGAGAGTAGCCAGCCCCTTGCCTTTGCATTGTCTCTGGATTCTTGGGAATAAATGAGTTTGTGCTAAATTGCAGCTGTTTAAAAATGCAGCTATGGGAAGGATCATTTTCATTTATTTTTCAGTTGCCAAATGGACATTCTAATATAAACTCTGTATCTTTTTCTTTTAGAGCACGCAAGGTGGCATGTGCATTATACAGCTAATATACAACACCTAAAACATAACTTTCATAAATGGAATAACAAATAATTAGGAAATGCACTCAATCTGTACTTAATCTAATTTGTTTAACACCTGTTATTTTCACTTTCTGGATTGTATTGCATTGTCTGTGGCCAGTGTGTTAATTTTTTGTAGTTCCACACTGAATGTCAGTATTGGTACAGAACTATCAAGACAAAAACTGCTCTGTGATCTTTATTAGTGTGATAGACTATCAGGTTTGACAGCGCTGCTGCTGTCAATAATCTATGCTAAATCTCTTAAGTAATTCACATACTTTAAACAGGTGAAAACAAATGACAGCTACCATCAGTATGGTGGCATATTTTGAGAACTGGGTTTTTTTTTCACAGATCTAAAGTAGAAAGCAAATTCTGTTATGACTCAGATCTGTGGTCAGTGTGAAATCACTTTGCACATCTAGCCTGACTTTTTTTTTTTTTTTTTTTTCCCTCCTTATCCTTAATGGAGCAGGAAGGCTCTCTTATTGGCCGCCTGCCCCTTTTCACTGAGAAATGAGAGAGAAAACACAGGAAGCATCATGCCTCATCCTCTGCGCAGAAGTGAGCTCGGAACACGCAGGACCCACAGGCAGGACCTGCCTCTCCCATGTTTCCTAAGAGAGCAGAGCCAGGAGTGCTGCAGCCTGAGCTCTCTCTGTGTTCCCCTGGAAAAGGAGCTATTTGACTGTTCCTTAATGCAGCGTGTTTGCCTCTGCGTGAGTGGGACACAGAGAGAAGAGCGAGCCACTTTGAAGAGTGCGTCCATTCAGGCTGGGTTTGTTCATGCTCTGTTCATTTTCCTCCATTGTGCCTGCTAGAGAAGGGTAAAACTAAGCTCAAGTAAAAAATCCAGCATATGATACCTACACACTTACATCCCTGTAAATTATATGTTGGCTTCAAGTAATTGGGGTAAAATCTGTGTAGAAGTCAAAGGAAAAAGGAGTCAAATATTCCAGATCAGTGTTCCAACCAGTTGCATTGTTCATTTCTTACATGGAGTGTATGCTAGATTAAATAATGACAGTGCAGCATTGGATTATTTTGAGTAAGATAAAAAGAACCCTTTTTTGAAACTGGCTGAGCACCAATTCCAGCTTTTGCACCCCTGTTCCCAGTGAAGCAGCTTGTGACCTTTACTCTAGACAAAGCTTCAAGTTAATAACCACTCAGAAAACTGAGAAATGCTGACCTTCTCCGGATCATTCAGTTTTCAACTTAAGCAAGCATTTACTTTTCTTCTGTTTTTTTTTTTTCCCCTCAGAGCATCTCATTCCTGGAAGGAAATGAATCTTATGTGGTCCATATGATATTTTCCTAATAGTTTTTTTTCATGCCATAACAATTGATGGAAAATATTTGGTGGAGAGTCTGTCAGGATGTTGCTAGTTTTCTGTAAATCAAAGCCAGGACCTGCAGAAAAACACGTAGTGAAGAAAAGGCTTAGATAGATACTTATTTCGAAAACTTCAAATAAAAAGTCCCAGAATAATGTTACATTCAAATAATGTTGAAATCTTTTTTTTTCTCCTTAGTTTTTTATCTTAAAAAAGAAACATTTTAGTCTTCCAAGTCAGACTTACGGTAACGTCTTAACCACAGCATGCCAAAGCTGTTAGGTTATTTTAAAGTTTTGGCCAGAATCTGGACATTTGTGCAAAGTACTCCCTCTTCCAATACAAAACAAAATAGTTGCTTGAATATTCTTTGCAGTGTTGTCATTTTTAAGGTGCTTTTTTTAAAAAAAAAAAAAAAAAAAAAGAATAATTTAGTTTTTGTTGGGATTTTTCATGAGATTTTTCCTTGGTATGCTGTAAACATGTACAGCCTTTTTTTGTTAAAGCCTTTTTCCATTGTGTATGGGAGATAAAAGCCACGCAGTACAGTTTCACACACAGGCATGTAACTATCAGAAATTATTCTGATGGAGATAGGCATTAACAGGGAATTGCTAGTGACCACTGGATGCTTAAATCACATCCTTGTAAAGACTCATAAATAATTTATTTTTTAATGTAATGAAGTAAACCCACAAATCCACCAACACTGTTCTGTTGTTTGCGGAAAATACAGGGTAGAAGGATGGAGAAAGAAGGCAGAAAAGGAAGCTGTTCTGTTGTTAGAGCCAACTGGAAGCTTATTGGGAAAACTAAAAAGTTCCTTATGTCCACACAAACACATGCCATTGCCCTGTGGGAAACTGTTTGCTGGCATAAAGAACACTTGGAAATTAAACACAACCTCTAACGGCACAGCATTCTATTTGTGATGCTCAGTTGCAGGCTCAGCTTTGCAAACTGTTGATATTAACTTGAGCAACCATAGCACTGTATTTATTATTCAAGAGGAGCATATATTTGGTGTTGAGAAATAAAGCCTTTCTCAGGGTTACATGTAAAGAATGTGAATAACTAACGTATGTTTATTTTGTTGATGCCTCCTAAAGATCAGTTTCATGACTGCTTTCCTGGAGGCTTTTGTGACTTTTTATGGAGATACTGATGGTATTTAGTGATGTTAAGGAGCAATATTACATTATGTTAAGAGCTGGAAAACCCAGTATTAAGCGCTGTACACGTATCTTTATTTACCTGTCCACACTGGAGTATGTTCAACAGGAAGTATACTAAAGCAAAAGTAACTCTCTGTAGGCATGCATCTCATATATGTGTTCACCCACAGTTTAGACTTTGTAACTATCAGCAACAGAGCGAAGAAAACAATTTCCCTCTGTAGAAAGCTGTCAGTAATAGCACTTAAACTGCAGACAGGCAGACAATCATTCTGGCATATTTTTACTGTAGTAGGCACTTTTAGGGAAGGGTTAGCAATGCACTGGGTCACACATTGATTAATGCCAGGCAGATTTTTTTTTTATTTATAGGGTGCCTTGTGGGATAACCCAGTTAATACATTTTCCAGTGTGTTACGCAGACCAAATGTAATCCATCTTGGGGGGGGGGGGGGGGGGGGAAGTGGAAATTAGAACAACATCCTCCCTTGCCAATGGAGTGACATCAGAAATGGTGTTTCTTAGCTAGGTTTAATTTTGGAGATTGTTTATGTTGCTTTGAGTTTATTTGGGCAGTAGCAAGCATAGACCAAGTTCCTAAAAAGGAAAGCGTTGTTGAAAACTGCAGAAAAAAGATTATGCAGAGTGGAAGCCATCCAGCTGAGTATCTTTGCTGTCCTTTGCAATACACTGTGCCACTAAAGAAATGATTGAAAAAGCTTTTGAAGTCAAGGGAAAATCCTTTAAATTTGTCCTTCTCAAATGAAAAACTCCATTTTAAAGGGATCATTTGGTTAAGGTTATCCAACTGGAATGTCGAGAATTATTTCCTTAAAACAGCACTTAGGCCCTTGTATTTAAGAAGCCCAGTTCTCAGAAGTACCAGACATACACCAAGAAAATCCTCTGAAGTTGGTAGGATCTAGAATCACTCACCAACTTTGAAATCAGACCACCTGTACTGAGCTGTCTGAATGTAGCCATGATTGCTTCAGGCACCAGCTTTTAAAATGTTTGTTTTTTCAGCTGATGGTTGAACTTGCAGGTTTGCCCTGGTGCAGAGTTCAGGACTGAGGAGTGAGAGACTCCTCAGCCATCTCCTGGAGGGATGCAGTCCCTGCTGCCTTCTTCCAGCCAGTGTTAGGTCAACTCTTCTGTTGCTCTGGTGCTTTCTTTCCTGCGTGATTGTTTTTGTACACTGCTGCATTTCTTTTGTAGCAGTATCAGCATCCTCGTGCTTCATCCTAAACTGCTGCATCATTTAATTTGTCCTGCTTTCAGTTCATACCTCTAGTCACCGCTTTGTAAGGTGAAACTGCTGGATTCCAGTTCTCATCCCCTGCAAGCTGCACATAATTCTCAGTTAACCATTTTCTACTTACTTAAAATTAAAATTGCTTATTTGGAAGAGTCTACGTTTAGTTTTGGGAGCTTACCCTTCCAGGCACCCCACATGTATGTGAGCAGATAACAGACACGTGTCTGCCAGAATTTTGCCTAAAGTGGATACAATTTTGAGCAGATGTGTTTACTGCTGTTTTTTCAGGGTAATTTTCTCTCCTTTTCTCAAGAGGCAGCTAAATTCAGTTTCTTTGCCTATTGGAGCTGTCGTTAGGTAATTACTAAGTCTTGTATTGAAGAAATAACTGTGTGTAAACACAGCAAGGAAGGAAAACAAAATACTTCTGTAATATGAATCTCTTAACTGTAGTTTCATGTCAGTGGTTTATGCTCTCTGTGGTATGCTGGTGTCTCAGAGCATGGGACTTATTTGTGCTTGGACTCTTTTTTGTAGTTTGCCTGGTGTGTAACAGAAAAGAGATTGTAATAGCAGCATGTGAAATATCAAAATTATGCTTTATAATTTAACTGCTTGAAGGATAAACTGATAAACTGTAGGCAGTGCAGAACAGTCCCAAAGGGAGGGTAAATGCAGGTTATCTTCATTTCAAGGATGTTCTAAATCACTTGAAAGTTCTCAATTGAAACGTTGGGTCCCTAGTAACCTGCAAAGGGACCTTTATTGGAAGCACAAAATAATTTTTAATTCAAAAATAACGTATTAGTTCCTTTCAATGTTATTTTTAACTTACGTGTTTCATGGCTGATTTCTTAAAATGTACTCTTAAGGTCACATACCACTACCTTGATCTTCTCGTACAGCTTCTAAGAAAACATTTCAGAGGAGTATCCTGGCATTTGGTGAGGGTTATCACATCGGTTTAGAAGCTAAGGAGTTATTTAGGGCCAAATTTGTATCTCTGGATAGCAAGATCATTATATAGAAGACAAGGGGGTGTTGCCCACCTTCTGTAGTGTGTGACATTGAAATTTGTACTATACCTCAATTTCCCAGATATTACAAGGGAAAATAATGGTCCTCCTTTTGTAAAACTCTTGAGATTCCGTGAAAAACATCCTAGTTATCTGTTGAGGGCTGCAAATGAAGTTACAACCCCCAAAACTGTGAATTCTGTTGCAAATAAAGTTTTAATATAAAAAAAATGCGTTTTTTTTTTCTTTCATACTTTGTGTATTTTATTTTATCATCTATCTCAGTGGGAACTGAAAAATACCTGTAGAGTGCTATTTAGAAACTGATAGATAAGATTAAATTATTTTGATAGAAAATAACTTCCTTCAGAGACTACGTCGGTTCATTCAGCAGCATTTATAGTAAGTTTTCAGAGGCGTCATTTAAGAAAGTTGTATGCTGTCATCCTCTGCATGGTCCAAAGATTAACTTACATTGGGTATTATAAATTTTGAGAATAAAGTGGCTGTTCTTTCATAATGGTAGCTGCTTTGCAAATAATTTCATTAATGCTTTAAAGTGCCTCTTAAATGATTCACTGCCTGTTTTTTTGACTTCCTTGAAAAATCTGTGAAAGAGTTTACAAATCACTTAAAGTAAGTCAGCAGTGTCACTTTTGGAAGAAGTTTTTTCAAGTGCTTCATAGGAAATTGGTATCTCAAGACTGAAGTTGGGAAATAGCCCTAACTAAAGGCTTAGCCAACTAGCAAGTAAACAGAGCTAATCTGAATGTTCCTATTTGTGAAACACCAAGATGGAAAACAGTACACATGTATATTTTGAAATTATTGCTGTGTTTATAACAGTTACTCCTGTTACACAACTGAAAACAAGCACTGTTAGCAAAGCATCCGCATTTTTTCAATCTTTCAACGTAACGACCCAGATTTAGTCCATTATAGAAAAAAGTAAAACCGGCTGTTAAATATGAGCGTGAAGTTAATGAATAATCTAGGCTATGCCTTGTTTTTAAAGCTCATTATAATAAATTATTCACAAAGGAAACTGAACATAGTGTGTGTTCACTGATGATACCAAGTGACTACATGCTTCCAGTAACACGTTGCGGAGCAGTACTCATGGAAATGTGACTGTCTGTTGCAGTGTATAATGGAATTTTTGTATCTGCTTTGTCTTCAGCAGCCAAAATTGCTGCCATGGGTACTATATATGCATGTGGGGTATGTAGGATAAAGCAAGACTGAGAAAGATCATCTGATCTGAACCCAGAGATAATGCCTGAATCCTAGAGAAGACAATAAGGTTATTTTGTATGATTTAGAGCATCTAGAATAGTATAGAACCAGGCCAACAGCATCTCTGCTCATCCAAATTTCGTAAATGTAACACTATTATCTTTTACTCTAGGAATGACTATACCAGAAGAAGACGCTGATGTGGGACAAGGTAGTAAATATTGCCTCGTGGCAATAGGAAGGCTTCAGGTAATGCCAGTCTTTCCTTGTATAAACTACTCAAGAAAGCATACTCAGTCGTGCTTTAGTTGTAAAGGATTTGCACAAAGTTCTGGTACTACAGTATAACTCTTAACTTGCCTCCAAAATACAGAGCACCTTGATATCGATGTGCAGCCAGTGATTTATAGAATCATAGAATGGTTTGGGTTGGAAGGGACCTTAAAGATCATCTAGTTCCAACCACCCTGCTATGGTCAGGACTTGTTTTGAACATGTCAACAGAGCAAAATGAAAATTATTTTGGTGCATATGTAATTTCTAATTACAAAATATTTAATGTAACAAAATATTTAATGTAACAACAGCAGCAAATATGGTCCTGGAGCATGAGCATGTACAGACCTGCTATTCTCTAGTGTGTATAGGGCTGGGATGTTCAAGATTGTGAGAAACATGGGGAGTACAGGTGCTGCAGATGGTAGGTTAAAGTGGCTCCCAAAGCCAGTGGCGTTCTCCCTGCTATTCTTCCCTTTGTGTTCTCTCTCTGGCTAATCAACTGCTTGAAAAAAATGTGATTGCAGGTGTTACTCTGAAAATGGTGAAGATAAGACAGTCAAGAGGCACTTCACAAATAATAGCTTTATTCTCAGTGTGTATTGTAGTGTGCATTCAGATGTGATGTCAGCTGAGGGAACTGTGAGAATAAAATTTTACTTCCTTTTTGTCCGTATGGTTGCAGTTGATCTATTACATTTTCTTTCTTTGTCCATTGTTGATGAGCATTCTGAACAGGAGCTAGACCAGTTGCGGTGAATCTCCTTCACTGCAGCAGGGAGGCTAATTTTTATCTTCCCAGTCTGGGAATTCTGCCATGGGTGAACATGTTTGCGTCTCCTGCATGATCTCCTGTTGGCCTGCACTCGTTGCCATCTGCTAAGATGGCATCACTCGTTTTTACAAGGTAGAATGACCCTTTCTTAGAGCACAGGTGCCAAACACATCTTATTTGAGGTGAGCAGCTTGCACGTTGCTCCAAGTGTTAGCACTTCTGCAGTGCGTGTCTCCATTGTAATGGCAGAGCTACAAAGGTTCTGCATAATGGATTTTAGGTTAATTATGCTTTTATAATCAAGGGTAGTACATTCCACTGATGGAGATAAGGAAATTATGGGAATTCATATGTTACAGCTGCCAGAGAAAGATGATTTCTGAGAAAATCACATTAGTGACATGTGGGGTGTCAAAACATCTGTTACATTAGAAGAGCCAGCAGGGTATGTGAGGGAGGGCGAGAGGAGGCTCTGGGGATGGGTTTAATCACAGGGAAGTCAAGGTACACAAATTATAAGCTCTGCTCTGTAACAGCAAATTGAAATCTTACATACAGTTAACTGGTTAATCTGCTTCAAGACAGCAACAAATGAAATTTTTCTCCTTTTGCTTTGGGACCTTATTAACAGAGATGGCTCTGAAAGTTGTAAGAAAAAGAATGGTCTCATTTGTAGCCCCAGTAGGACTAGATAGATATGAAGTGGCCTGCTTGCACCGGTTTTAGGCATAGAGCTGAAAATGTATAATTGTCTCTGATGATCTTTGAGGAGCAATTACAGGAGAAGTGTGGTTTTTAGTTTTTTCACTGTGAGCAGTCAGTTGCTGGTCCAGTATCATCACCTACCTCAGTCTCTGGAGAACTTTGTTCAGGTTCTCTGGGTGTTCTCAGATGACCCTCAACTGAAAGCTGAGTGTTAATCTGAACTAGTCCTATTGGATGTGTTTACAGATAATGAGTTGTACTCTTACAGAGATTGACCTCCTCATCCTAAAATGCATGGTTTGAACTGTCCGCTGGAAGTGTCTTGTTCTTGCTTGACAAGAGTAGGAACCAAGATGCCAAATTTTAATGTGGTCCCACAGAGGGAGATGAATTGAGCCATACTTATATCCTTACTGTATCTCTCCTTGTTGGGAACTTACGGGATCTTTGTTCTGCTGCTGTGATGTTAAGCCTAGATACGTGCCATGGGGTGAGATATTTGCACTGCAAACTAGACTAAGGGCTGTTTTCTGTCATTTATTCATGCCATTGTTTTATTTATTACTTCCTTCAGTAGTTAACACTCTGCCAACAGATTTTATTCTTTAGCTATGTAATCAACTTTGATTTAAGGTGACTGTTCTGTGGATTAAATGCTGTGGACTTCATTGGTCATAGGTGACTAGTTCTCCAGTGTGCATGGACATGAATGGCATGTCGGTCCCAACTGAGTTCTTGTCTAGGCACAATTCTGATGGAATCATCACCTTTGTTGACCCAAGGTGCATCAGCGTCATTGGCTACCAGCCCCAGGTCAGTGAGTCACTGTAAATGCAGAGACTGATTAGAGCTAACGAAGAAAGTTCTGTTTCTACATCAAAAATAAAAGCAGTAAAACATTAAATATTTGTAGCTGATAATTGGTATGTTGTGCACTAAATGCTGTTCATTTTTCTTTATTGTTCACACCTCTGTAAAATTTATAGTTTACATCTTTGTTATATGGGATATCTTTTTATAGCTTCTAGATCTGGTTAGAATTCAAACAGCCAGATGCTTTAAACCTTGCACAGCTTTCCAGAAGACATTTCTATGATAGAAAGTTAACCATGCTTGGAGAGTTTTAGTCCCATAGATCTTTACTTCTGCCAATCTATGGAACAGTAAGCAAACATCATTTATGGCATCTATTTTCCTTTAGGCTTACATCTGCTCCTCTGAGTAGGAGGCTAGTCACAGAACTGAGTGGAATAGTAAATGAGCACCTGACTACCAGAACGCTCCCTCGGATAACTCTCAACAGTAGCAATTTACAGGCAAAAATAACTTCTTGCTCTTTAGATTTTCCCATGTATTTTGATTTTAGGTAGCTTTATAGTAACTGTTTTTACAAAAATTAGTGCCATAAAATGAGCTGTAGTAGAGGATGTCAGTCTCTTCAAGACACCATTTGTTTGTAAAATTTTTAAATACATGTTTGTAGATAAATGTAAATACATGTATCTGTGCAACAGTACAAATATAATGTTGGAAATGATGCCTACAAACCTTGTTTGTAATTCATCCCTGATTAGCTGAGTGGTCCCATTAAGGGTGGTAGATCTAGTGTCTGCGAGGTTTAATGGCAGATCTGCATGTGAATTTGTGTTGTGCTCTGGGTTTTTTACACAGCTTTGTGTTTTATTCTAGGATCTTCTGGGGAAAGATATTTTAGAGTTCTGCCATCCTGAAGATCAAAGCCATTTGAGGGAGAGTTTCCAACAGGTGCTGCATCCTGCTTCTTTTCTTCTGCCATTTATTTATTATTTTTGTTATTACTTTTTTCAGAGAAGTAGCTTCTGTTTTTAATTTCAATGTATTTTTGCTGTTACGCAGGAGGAGAGGCAAGATACAAATCGATTTGTTGATCAGTTAGGCTGCATAAACAGTAGTTTAAACTGCAGCATCTGTTTGCTGTGTTTTCAGAAATAAGTCACCTAATTATACATTTTGTTTTCTTTTGACAAAAAATGAAACGAGCGTTCACTGCACAGTTAGAGCTGTTTTGGAGATGCCTGTATAGATCCCACTGTGTTAAGTGGTAACCAAAAGTATTTACCTTCCAAGATGGGCAGTTGATTTGAAAGTAGGTACACCCTACTCTAATGCTGGATTGTTAATGAACTGAATTCTCTGCTGGCAGAGATGACGTGCTTCATACTTTAATGGAGTTACACCACTTTACATCAATAGAGAATTTGGCCCTTCTCCCTATTAGGAATTGAAATGCAGACAGAAGTAGCAAAAGAAATACAACATATGGAAAGAGTTACCAATCTGGATTCGTTTTTACAGTTGGCCACATTTACATCAGCTATATCAAAGGTATTTATTCTGGTGGATGGCTTATTGTTTCAAATTGATTTGGGACATGCAGTAGGAGTGCTTTCCCCAAGACTTCTGCTTGTTGCTGGTCTTTTCAGGGCCTTCTCTGCCACACTAGAAAGTGCAATGTGGTATGTTTAACAGATTACTGAGGTTCAGATGATCTAAGTGGTTCCAGATTTTCTGACAGCAGCCTATGGCTCAGCCAAGTTTTATTGATCCATCTTGTGTTGGATGCAGAGATATATTTTCAGCTGTGAAACATAGATATGAAGTGACTTCTAAAATAATCTGTATAGCCAACTATTTATTCGGGCATGGCATGCAAAAATGGAGCTTGAAAAGCCTCCCTGGGGAAAACAACTAAATACCGTTCTGTGTCCGTAGAATAGGTTGTGAAACTGAGGTTATGGTCTCTACAGAAGTGTTTGAGATAGCTCAAGAGTACTGATATCTTACACTATTTCGCACCACCACCTCCTTCAAGTAGAGACTATCAACCCCACTGCTGAGCTAGCAGAAAAGACTGCATGAGCACTGTGCATCCACTTCAAGTCCCTTGAAGGGACTGAGTTCAAACAGCAGCTAAAGACCTTTAAAATTCAAGATGTTGATTGACAGGCAGGGGCCTGTGAGAGTTAGGTGCTTGAAACAGGTCTCCATACCCAGTCATCTTCTCAGCCCCTCCTTAGCTGGGGGTGTGGTGCTGCAGCTGAACCTACCTGATGGATAGCTGTCACCAGTAGTCAGGTCCTACTCCCACTTCTCTCCTCCCTGACCTTCTCCCCACCCTTCCTACTGTCCTGATACTAGCCCAGATGGGCTTGCTGGGTAAGCCAGCTAAGGGACTAACTGCTTTTGCATGGGACTAGCTTTCAGCTTGTTCAGCTCGCTGAACTTGTGTGTGATCACATCAGTGGTGCAGGAAGAGCAGCGAGAACACATATGCTGTTTTTCACTAATGCCCAAATGATTGATTCCACTAATTTATCCAAGACACAATGGCAGAGAGCCGCTGGATAATAACATGTCAAACATCCATCTCTGAAGTGATTGCCTGGGGCTCAGAAGGGCTGACTAACTAACGTTCAAGTTAATGACAATCACTGTGTATTTCACTGAGAGTGAGGTGAGGCCATGAGAGGCTGCTGGTGTATCCCTGAACTCAGTTGCTGGGGACTTCACTGTCACTGCTCGCTGTTAGACACATGCATAAATGATTCACTGGATCAGGGACCTGTATGATTTGCTTAAAGTCATACAAAAAGACAGCAGGAAAAAGTGCAGATTAGAAGTGAAAGTTCCTGTTCACTCGATGCATGTCCAATCTTTGAAAATACTGTGTTGTTTCTTTAGTAGGCTATTCCTTTTTCAGTATATTTTTGTTCAGTACAGTAGCAGTGTGATGGGGGGCTGTTATTTCAGTCATACAATAAAAGACTGAAGTAAACAGTTAAGCTATGCGCCAGGTGGTTTTTATTTCCAAAGAATGTAAGACAGTAAAGGTTAAATATTAGCTTTGAAATGTTTCATGCTATCTTGTTTGTGTGCACTGTTTTAAGACGGCTCAGGATTTTCCCACCAGAGAGCTCTATGCTTTATATATTATTACAGAATTAGTGTTTGCTTAATTCAGACTTCAGGACAATAGATCACTGGAGTTTGTTTTATTATTGTTAGTTTGGCCTTAGAAATCTTTTCATTAAAAAGGTAACTGAACTGTGATTTCCAATAAACTCTCTTTTTCTAAAACTCTCTGAAAACTTGACATTTCTAATTTGCTGACAGTATCAGAACCAGGTTGGTGCATAACAGAGGAGGGAGGGAGGGTTTTGCAGGTTTTGGGCAATTGCCAGTATCCATCTCAAAGCTTTTACTTCCTTGGGAAGATAAATTCATTCATCAGGGTGGGAAAATCAGGCCAGAATAAGATAGTCTCAAGGCCAAGATCAACAAATAGTGTTTAGTATCAAAGGATCCAGAATACAGCTATTTGATAGCCAGTAGGATGCTATTCAGAATGGACACTTTTACACAAGCTCTGTGTTTTTTACCCTGGGTGTGGTAGTAGAAAATTGCTGATAAAAGAATGTCACTCACTGAACTACAAAAGCATTATTAAAAAAAACAAAAAAAAAAAAAAAAAAAAACCAAAACAAAACAAAAAAAAACCCACAGAAGTCATTTACCTCAGTATTATTTTGAACTTTCCTGGGCATTACTAAAGCTTTTTGTGTTTTCTATTTGCCTTCTTTCCATTTAATCCCATATCCAATTGATCAATTTGAAATGCAGACCTTTGGAAAAAACAGGATTAGAGCATTTTTTCCTAATGCAATTGCTAAATTGCTAATCAATTTCTAATTGATAAAGACAGAGGGTAAATACTGGGTTCTCTGCTTTTAGAGAATACAGGCTGCAGATAGCTAATAAAAAATAATTTCCAGTGGTTAAGGATTAAGAATCCACAACGAGATGTGGCATTTATTTGCAGTAGATCTTTCCTTTCCTTCCCTGAGGCATCACTGAGATAGCTAGGTGGAAAAGCAATAAAAAATAAATTTTATTTTTTAATAAACACGGATAACCCAGGTAAGTGCCAGCTGAATGATTTGAAGCTGTATAAATTTTCTCACTTAAACCCAGGTTGTTCGATGACACATAAAATACAGTTACGGTGCCAGTGTGCAAGTATTGTTACAAGAGTACTTCTTTCGCTGGCTGCCTCACACTTCTCAGTTGATGCCCAACTGTTGACTTCAACAAAACTTCAGCTACCAAAGACAGAATTTTAACTGAGTATTGCCAGACATCTAAATTCTTAGTCATAAACAAATAGTCTGTCCAAGCAAAGAATTTACTCTTCGTTTTCATTACTACTATTAAAATGGACAGTGGCTTATTGGTGTTTTCTCCATTCAAAGGTAGACTCACTCTTTCTTGTTTTGAAAGCCAGAAGCAAATGTTACTTGTTAGCACTTTGCCATCATAGATGGTCTTATAATCTATTTGGAAAAAAAAAAAACAGAACAGCCATGTATGGTTTCTTTAAAAAGTCATCTTACGTATTATCTTAAATTTTGATGCTGTTGTGTGATGTGGTATATCACATATGTGAATTGTATAGGTATGGAAGTGGAAAAACAGAGAGTCAATCTCAAAATGTTTTTTCTTGTGGGGTTTTGTTTTGGCTGCAATGTTTGGTCTATGGTTTACATATAAACATTTAAAAGATCCTCAGTTTGCTTTCTGTCAGTCTCTCAATAAGCGTTCCACATTAAAACCCTCTTAAAGCTTCCCTGTTGGAATAACAGCACAACCTGTTGGTTGTCCTGTTCTGTATTATTCTTATACACAGGCTGGAAAATGTCATTTTATACAACAAAGTGTGAAGGTTTCATTCTGAAGGAAATAGCTGCAAACATGAATCAGATTTTGCATATTCTCTTCAAATTAAGAATCTCCTTGCTGTGTCCATAGATTTCTGTAATTCAAGTTTAAAACACACCAGTTACTGCTGTTTACTATTCATTTGCACAGCAGGTAGCAATCTCCTTTTATTAACCTTTCCAAATGGTTTTTCAGGTTGTGAAACTGAAAGGTCAGGTCCTGTCTGTGATGTATCGTTTTCGTACCAAAAACCGGGAATGGATGCTGATCAGAACGAGCAGCTTCACATTTCAGAACCCTTATTCCGATGAGATCGAATACATCATCTGCACCAACACAAATGTAAAGTATGTACCTTTCCAGATGCTTGTGTATGTGGTTTTGAAAGAATTTAAGCATTGCTTTTTGCTGTAAAATGCATTCTGATTTTTCGGTAGCATGTTTCTAGCTACATTAGTTTCCCTATAACAGTACAGTCTGCAACAGGGTATTTCTGTATCATGAGATCTCACAGCATAGCTGTTTCTCTGTGTCATTATCCTGTGATGCTTCCAAGGCCTGGCTGCACTGGGGGAAAAATGTCACTTATCTGTTATGTCATTAGACAAGCCCATTGATCTCAGTCCAGGCTGGCTTAAACTAGCACAGAGCTTCCAGCAGCAGACCAGCTGTCCTGATATTGGAGGAAGGTTAGCCTGATTCCTAAGCCAAAGAGAAAATTGCGTGTCCATGCTCATTGTGATCATACCATTCTGTAGTCCTGTGCATCATCTCCTTGAGCTGTGTCTACTCTTACAGCCTATGAAAGCTGGCGAAATTATTTCCTAGTAGGCTTGAGTGGGAAGGGTTCCTGATACTCGGTTAAAATCTGGTGGAATATCCCCAAGTATGAGGACAGATCCAACCCCTTATCTTAAGAGGGAAATTAAGTCATCCTGTCTTTGAATTAATATTTTCAAAAATCTGTCATTGGACCTCTTAGGAGGAGATTACCCTAGGAGTATAGTGGAAGTTCATCACTGTGTAACTGAGCAGAGAGGCTTTTGGAGCCTCCCAGGTTCTGAGCTGGTAACTGCAGAAGCTAATCTGGCCTTGATAAAGCAATTGCTTTATAGTGTGGGGGTTTTTTTTCTACATATTTATTCTTTCCGATATAAACTTAATCTGTTTCTAAAACAAAATCTGCTTCTGGTCTGACCAAAGATTTTTTGCCAAGTTTTCAGCTCAGAGGAAATTATTGGTTTTAAGATCTCAACCTGTTAGACCGTATAATGGAAATGCTGAATGAGCAGTCTACTAGTGGAGATTCATGCTGAGAGCTCCACTTGCAAAACTAAACCCCTGGGGCTTTGGCATTTGAGCTTAGAAAGCTAGTGGGTGTCTTTGGATGTTCCTTGACTTGTTTCTTTGGACATAACACATACCTGGACTAGAAGGGCTGTGCTTTCACTCACTTGAAACTCAGCATCACAACCATTTTGCTCAGTTTTTTCTGCATACCCAAAACATCAGGTTTAAACAACTGAATAGTTAAGCTCATTGAAAAGAAGCAAGTGTGTCTTGAAATCAGACAGCTAAATATCATCCTGTCTGCACTGTGCATCAAAATAGATATTTTCACATTTTCTGCTGTCCCATATTTCTTTTCCAAATAATTTGTATGTGCAAAAAGAGGCCTGCAAAAAGCAACTTCTGAAATCTGTCCCAGGCTGGCTTAATTGTGCTTTGTTCCCAAGAGTCCACAGATCAAAAAGTGGGGCTGTAGACTTATGTTGTATTGACTTTGGGAGTGTTTTTTTCTCAGCCTCCACTATATTGTTCAGCTTGGCATCGCAGCACTTACTGTGATGAATAGGAGTATGCCAGCTTCTGGCTCTTGTTATATCTCTCTTGCTAGGTTTGAATAACAACCCAGAAATGTTGACCTAATATGGAAGTTGCCTGCTGCTTCTTTGACAGAGGATGTTCCCTCTTTCCTGTCATGTAGAAAATGTTCTAGTCTTACAGCAAGATACAAACTATTATACATCTGCTTTTGAATAGTAGAAAGAAGGCATTATTTGAACTGTTTTTATGGTTTTCCCCCTGTGCTCTCCCACTCCTCAGTCAGATTTCCAAACAGGACTACTCTAATGTACTGCTGTTCCTGCCTGTTTCTGGATTTATTTATTTCTTTTGCACATTTGGGGTCATGTTTTGACTGATGTCCTAGATGCCTTGCAGAGCTATACGTCATGGTAACTATTTCTGCCTCCTCATTCAGCTCCTGCTGGGTCTAGATGTTTGGCACCAACTCCAGTGTATGTGGCCATCTTCATGTATCAGTGGAAATATCAGATGCTCTAGGTCCAGCAAAGTGCTTCACATGGAAAGCAAGCAGGGGTGCCTTCCACTGCGCAGTTGTAGGCAGTTCTGCACAGGGACAAATCTTGATTTCTCTATTGCTGAGATAACCTAGCCAGCTCCGTAAAGTACAGGTTTGAGGCAGTTAAAAAATCATCACGAAATTGTAAAGATAATGTAGCCAAAAGTTCTAGATTTAAATCAGTTTTTAACTTCGTTTAAAGCCACAGCACGTACATCTGTGTGTCTGTTTGTTAACGGAACAGCTCTCATTTTCCATTGGTCCATGAAAAGCGTTTTACCAAAAGACTGTAGAGGGCAGTGGTGGTTCCAGTTGTGGAGGAATTAATTGGATTTTTTTTGTTGTTGTTTTGTTTTGTTTTGTTTTTTTGGCTTTGTTTTGTTTTGTTTTTCTTTTTTTTAATGATACTCCATTGCAGCTTCAAACAGTCAACTTTCTGAACTCGCTTTTGGTGCGGAAGGATAACGAAACATTAGGTTAAAATGTTCACCTAGTTCCTTGCAAAAAAAAAGAAAAGAAAACTTCTCTCAGTTTTACTTGGGTGTAGTCATCCAAGAGAAACTTCCTGGAGGAATGAAACATTTAACATTTAGCATTTGACTAGCTTTGGCTGAAAATAAGAGTTCCCCCATTTGACCACATCTTCCTGTGTAATTGGGACTGTTTGATTTCCAAAAATAAATAATTATTGTGATCAACGTTTATTTAATATACACCTAGTGTTCAAATGAAATATGTCATGGTGATAGATCAAACTATAAAAAAGTCTTTGCATATATAAAAGAAAGATACTTTTCTGACTTTTGTGGAAATTTTGATGTTTCATTTTTGTAAGCCTCTAAATACTATGTTGCCCTGCATGCATTTCTGAATCCTACAGTTGTCCTAAATCTCAAGATTCTTGTCTCGAAGTGATCTGGCACAGGTCACTGCTGGAGGCAGCCTGTCAGATGAATGAGCCCACGATTGCAGGAGAGATGCTTTCTGTTTTGGATTCTCATAGGCCAAAACACTAAAGAGATCAACTATTCTGATAAAATTCCAGTCTATGGTAGTGGTGCTAAAGACTTACTTTCTCATGATCCCTGTGCCATCTGTGGGCTATCTTATCCCTCAAGGCCAGTGTAAGATAGACCCTTTCACAGGGGTGACTTTGAAGCTGTAGGCTGAAAGAGGGAGATTTTGAGAATTTCTAAGAGAGGATTTTACAACGGCAGCCCCAAGGCTTTTATTACTTCCTTTTTGTCCAAACCAGACACAGGAAGCATATGTGCCTGTATTACATAAAAATAGCATGGTAGGGATACAGTAGTGTTGTTTCTCTCCCACCACAGAGACTGTTAATTTGAAAGTTCTAATCCTTTTTTGGTAGCTCTGATGCCTGGATAAAAGACCAGGTGACTTTGGTGTTCATAGGGATTAATTCGGCTGAAATCCTCTGCAGTGTCAAAGGAACTTTCACATAATCTTCCCTTTTCCTCCAAATACATTTACTGAAGTGAATTTGAGCTAACTACCAAGACCTTCAGATTTGCTGAACCATTCCTTGTTCAAGCCAAGAGCTTCCCCAGTTCCATACCAAACCTGAGGGTGCACCAGGAGTTCCAGCAGTACAGGCAGTCCTCTCTTGACCCAGACAATACCTTACTTGCTATGTTGGGTATCCGGTAGAGCCAGGACATTTCTCTTTCATTTACTCCTTGAAGCTGTGAAACTGAAATTGAAACCAAGGACAGTTTGGGTTTTATTTTCAAAATTAGAAAGCAGTTTGCATTTTGCCCAAACTGGTAATAAACTCTTGTTCTGTATCATCTTTACAAAAACAATCTAGCAATTGGGCGACTGAAGGGACCTGCATATGTTGACTGTTCAGTCAAAAGGACCAGTTAGATGGCAAGGTCTGAAGCAACCACAACAGCAGGGCTCAGCTCTCCCTGGGCAGCTGGTCCATGAACTGCTGCAGTTTCTTTCAGGTTTCAAGCATCATTTGAACTATTTATACAGTAGCAGCAAACAACAGCAGAAGATGCAAATCTTGCTTTACGTTTCAGTCTTAATTGAGTGCAGCATAGCTTGCACAGAGTTTAGTGAAGATACAGTTAAGTATTTGGTTTTTATAGGAAATGGATTTGGGAGGTTTTTCCCAAAGTTCAGTGCTGTTAACACAACGTGGTATTTATATTGTACTGCAGTTTAATGGGTATTAGAGATGAAAGATAAAGAAGGGTGAAGGAGCACTAAGTTAGAAGTGCCTACAAAACAAATAACTAGTAAGTATGCTGTTTTGTTTGGCTCATTTATATGTATATGGCTGAATCAAGAAAACATACTTTATACGGAACAGAAGAGACCTAATGTGCTGTTTATTGACACACGCACCAAGTCGTTGGTAATAAAAACAAATGAAACAGTGTAATTAGCTTTCACGTTAACAACAGGATTTAATGGGTGTTTATTGTCCACAGGGTAGTATTTAGAAAAAATTCCCCATAGATTTGCCATGATTAAATTACCTCCTATAGTTCTGTTGGAAAAGTATGCATTTTATGCTTGCGAACAAAGAATTTATTTGCATTCCAGAGGTAATTGATAGGAATTTTCTGTTGGCTAAGATAATGTGGAAAATCCATTGGCTCTCTAATGACCTGGAGGACTGATTTTTTTTGCGTGTAACTCATAGCACAGAAGTGATTCTGTGTACTATGTGTTCTTACACTGTAAGGCTAGCAGAAGGTTTTTGGCCATCTACTGCAATCTTCTGTTTGTTGCAGGTCACAGATTTTTGTCCAGTTTGCCATGGAGCCTAATAACTGGTGTCTGAGCAAAGTGTCTTCTGGAAAAGCATCAGGGGATGGAAAAATATGTCACTTCCTTCAGTAGCTTGTTTTAGTGGTCCCTCACATTCCCATCAGTTTGTGCCTTTTTTTTTTTTTTTTTTTTGTGTCATTTGACTTTGTCTCCAAGTTTGTGTCTCAGTCCCTTGATATTTAAATCTATCCAGTTCAAAATTTAAAAGAAGATTTGGATAAAAATCTAAAATTCAAGCCTGTGGCCAAAAATGTATCCCAATTCTCTGGAATTTCAAATCCATTATTATTTTGCAAAATCTCATCTATTACCACCTGTCGCATTATAGTGTCTCCCTGGAGGAAAACCCACATAGTGTTTGTTAAGTGATTTTTCCTCCAGGAAGAGGCCAGAAACAATACAGAAATTGTGACCACTATCAAGTATCATTTGCAAGTATCAAGCTTACTTTCTTGTCTCAAATCTTATCCTAATCTCTGAGTTTTAGCATAATTTGGGGGGTTTTATATCTTCTTTGCTAACTGAGCAAAGAGCCTCACAGCGATAGCATGCTCCTGCACATCCTCAGGCCAGAAGTCATATTGCTAATTGTGACCAAGTGGCAGAAAGCAACTGTTAATGGAAGGTGCAAAACATTTAGATGATTTTGCAGCTGCTGAGGTTTTCTGTCATTACACAGGTAGTCTTCCTTGAGCTGCTGCAATGCCAGCAAGCTCCTGGCCTCATCCTGGAGACTGGTTCACTTCTCTTCGTGCTGTTGCCCGTGCCAGAGCAGGGGACGCTGCCTTCTCCATGGCAGTGACACATCTTCAGACAAGGGCCACTGCACAGCCTTTCCTTTTTACAGGGAAATCTGAAGTTGTTGTGCCTGCCTGTCAGCCAGTCTGTGGGCAGCAACACAAAGTTGTGAAGTGAAGGTGATGCTGTGGCCACGCTGTGCAGGGCTGTTGGTTGATCAGGCTACAGCCTGGGCACAGCTCAAACCCGGCACTGTGCTGGCAAGATCATGGGGCTCTCCTGCTCTGCTGTCCCAGCTCGGCGTTGGGACAAAACTGGGTTTGTCTGTCTGCAAACAGTCACACAAACCTGTGCTCAGAGAAGTGAAGTTCCTAATGACCCAACATGGGGATGCTGTAAGTCCAAACAAGAAAGGAGAAGTTTCATGGTAAAATTCTGATCTTAATGCTTCAATAGCACTTTTGTCTTTTGTATCGAAAGGATTGGGTTTTACTTCTGATGAATTGTACTGCACAGTGGCTTTTTGTGTAGAAGTTGTTTTGTTACAGTGAGTAAAAAGTTTCCGATAGCAACAATTAATATAACTATCTCTCATCTTTTAAAAAGATAAGGAGCTCTGAATTTGTGTCCTTTCGGAACTCAAAAAAATGAGTGAACAAATGGATTCATAAGATAACTGTGCTAGATATATTACAACTCTATGAAAGATCTGTATATTTTTATAAATAGGCAATATTTGCGTATGTAGGATGTGAATATGCCTGACTTAGCACCACTTGCATGCTGTCCCTACAAGTCACCTGTCAGTCAATTCTCATGACGTTCAATTATTTTATCTGTCAATATTGGCTAATGGTCATAGTTAAGTAACAGTGCCTGACACTAAACACAAATCAAGTGCATTTCAAGGATCTGTAGAGTTTTCAACACTAAAGTTCTTCCTTCTGACATATTACCCCTAATGTTTATTAGCTCTGGCAGTTTCTTTTGAATTATTTTTTGATTGCTACTCCACATGTCATTTTTCCTAAATTCATATAATTGGATTAAGGCTATTACTTCCAGTGATTTTTATCTCATTTAAACAACGGATATTTTTTGTTCAGTTCTGATTAGCATGAAAAGGAGACTTGTGTTTTCTGTAGCATTTCTCAACACCAATTGATTTTATGTAATGTCTTCATTTTATATAGTAGCACAAGCAATTTATTTCTGGACATTCACTGCCGTAGAAGCTTTCAAAAATTGAATAGAATCTGGACTTGGATCCTAAGGAGAGTAGAGGTTTTATTACAAAGAAGAATTTATATGCAGTTCTAGCTCAACAGGTTATTCCGTTTGGTCTGGCATGCTTCAGACAGAGATTTGATCACTTTTTATTATTGATTGGCATTATTCTGTATTAATGTTACTCAAGGTTTCCTGTTTACTTCAGTAGGATCAGTGAAGGGGTCTGGTATATTCATTGTTAACATGAGGAAGACATTCTTGGTGTCTTAGTAGTGAATTCTTAAATCCTTTATTAAGGAGGTTGTATTCCATCCTCCATTACTTACTCACCTACATTTCTGTGCTATTACAGCAAAATTCTTCATGTGCCCTGTTACATTCCTGTGGTGCGAGCTTTCTCAATGAGAAAGGTTTAAAAATACATGAATCTCACAGAAAAGGATTTATTAAATCATCTGAGAGATTTTTCACTCAAAATATAAAATAGGAGACCATGGCTGTTCCTTTAATTAGTTTTTGTAACAGTCATTTTGTCTCCTTTGCAGACAACTTCAGCAGCAGCAAGCGGAACTTGAAGTACATCAGAGAGATGGACTGTCATCCTATGATTTATCTCAGGTGAAATTTCTCAAGGTTTTGTTTTTGTGCTTCTGATCTTTTAAAACATAAAGCAGTGGCAGATTTCAGCAAAATTAAAAATACATTGTGACTGTCCCTGAATTCCTTTTTATCAAATATGGTGGAGGGAATTGCCGCCTTCTGTGTATCTCAACAGGTGCCTGTTCCAAGTATACCAGCTAATGTTCATGAGGGTGGAAAATCTGTGGAAAAGCCTGATGCTATCTTCTCCCAGGAGAGAGATCCTAGGTTTGCTGAGATGTTTGCTGGAATAACTGCTTGTAAGTGAATGTCTCTGATGTTTAATTTTTAATACTATATTAAGCTTGGTTACATGATGTGGAGCACAGCTTCAAGAGAATGAGGAAGAAACTACAACGCGGCAGAGGAATTTCCAAGCAACCTCAGTCTTCAGAACATTTTCTAGGATTTGCCTTTAGTTAATATTTCCCCTAAAGATGATGAGGAGTAAATTCAGGGATGGAAGGACAGCTTTTGTGTCTACAGAGCTGCCTATTTTTGATTCTCTTTTCATTTCACGGGGGCACCTTAAGCAGTGTTCTTAGATACTAAGCATACTGAGCAGAACTTGGCATTTCTAAGCATATATTTTCTTTCTTAAACAGCAGATGTGAGTTCATCTGTCTAAGTAGACATGAATAAAGAAAGTTACCATGTAGTCTTAAAACAGGCCTGCAGTTTTTTATCAAATCGCCAGCTTTTGCATTGATGCTCTAAGGCATATGCTGCCTTGAAGTGTAATAATATACTTGTTTTCTGGTCAGTTGAGGCATCTCCAGCCATGTTACCTGTTGGTAAGTCCTTGCTTTTTTTCCCCACAACTTTTGAACTTGTTGGCAAGTTCTTATAAGTGTGATAGCAGTCTCAGAAACAGTATGTTCTTTTTTTTTTTTGTTAAAATTACTGTGAGGCCAGAGTCCTTACTGAGTGCCCTCACCAAGGGATTTCCCAGTCCTGTTCTAAGAGGTAGCAGCCAGCTTGTCAGTCGGACAGACGTAGCTGACTCAAGCTAGCCCCAGCCTATGCTGCCTGTTGCCCTAACAGACAGAAGTCATTGGGAAGACTGGCAGCTGAAGGGGTCATCCGAAATATATCCGTAGGAAACCAGGCTCATTAATTCCACTACTCATGGAAGAACTCGTTAATTGTTTATTGTTCTTAAGTGTCCTCACTGAAAAAGAGAAGTTTTTACATTTGTTTTAAATAAATCAACGTGCAAGTGTCACGCAGTGCATGAAGGAAACAACCCACGGGGTTTGACTCCAGGGGTGTTGGGAGGTGACCTCACGGCATTGGTTTCTTATGTCTGCCTTGGCCTTTTCAAATGGAGAAGGCATTGTAACTGCAGGATGGACTTGATATTCTGTCACCCTGTTGCTAGGACTTCTCTGTTATTCCTGTTCACCCTTGTCTGTCTACTCTAACAGTGAAGTCAACAGCTGAGGCCATAAAAGGGGTCCATTAGAAGGTAGCAAGACTCCAACCCTAAACACCAGAATATGTTTTTCCAAGCAAGAACATCTTGCTTTTTGGCTGCCTTATTGGCTCTTTTTCAGGCAGCTCTCAACTGTTTGTGGGGAGGGGTTAGGGTTAAGGGTCTAGCAAGCTGTGAGGTAGCTGGGAAGTTATGTTCTTGGAAATGCCATTTCTCCTTTCATTCTTATCAATTTACAGGCTATGCTTTTTTTGGGACATTCACCCTGTCTGAATTTCTCATGGGAGCTGTGATCAAGCTCTTCTCTGAATGATAAAAAGAGATGGTTCACAGTTAGAGATGAGATATGCTATCCAAAATCAATATTGACCAACCTGCATGCTGCCTGCAAGACATTTGCATTATGTTGATACCCAATCTCATTCTCTCCTATGTTCTGTAAAAATACAGGTTTGACATAAGGAGATTATTGCCATAATTGCATGCAGTGGCCACACATAATTAAAAAACAAAACTGGGGAGAGAAAGCCTGTCTTCACTGATTCATGCAAGTGCCTTGAAGCACACAACGATGTGGTTCATACAGAGATCTTTGTTCTACAGGCAGAAACACTGGTCCTGCTGGGAGCAGTGTGTATCATTGACCGGTACAGCGATGGGGTTTAGAGAGAAACAGGTCTAAGGATGCAGGTGAAACACCAAAACAGAATAGGCTTTCAGTGCTGTACCAAAGGTGAGAGCAGAGAAGTAATGTTTGAAGTCCTGAGTGGGAATTCAGCTGGGAGAGATGGGGGCCAGATTCAGAGGCTAAAGAGCATTCAGTATAACTCAGGAAAGAGATTTTTTGAAGCCAATATAGCTGTTTGTGATTAGTTTAGCTGTTCCCTTTGTCTTGGCCTCATCCTGCAGCACAGACCCTAGTGGCTACCATGGCAACTCTGCTTCACTTGAGGAATTCCAGTTCATTTAGGGCACTCTCAGTTTTGCTGGTGAGTTGTTCTCAAATATCTAAAGTACCCACAGGATTTTGGCTCAGTCTCTTCCAACCCTGAGAGTTTGGTATCCCTGTAAAGGGAGGCCTTAGAAAATGGGACATCTCATGCAAGAATGACATTACTGCAAAAAAAGGCAAAATCATCTGTCCTTCTTGGAGATATCCCAAGCTATTCTGAATTCTTCCTACTGTATACGCAACCTTCTCTAGGCCTTTTTCCCACTACTCCTTGTTTTTTAATATGAGAGTGTAGGCTTGCAGCCCAGACTCGGTGTCTGTGCTGGACAATATGTAGCCAGTGAGGAATTTCTACATTACAGAGGAAAAGCAATGACAGCTTGCATCAGTGATACACGCACTCCGTGTCACCTCCTGTGAGGTTAATTTGAAGTGGCTTTTTTCTTTGGGAAGGCAAGCCTAGGTTCTTGTTAGGAACATAATGTAAGAAGAACTTAGGTAACAGAGGAGAGCTGGTGTGTGTTGGAGGCCTTTGGTAATCCATACTCGTAAGGTCTCTAAAAGCTAGGCAAAACCATAAAATACTCCTATTACTTGAGTTGAATGGGTCTTTTGTCCAGGAGAGCATCTTGTGAAATGTGTAGGTTTCTGAAAAGACCAGAGGGGGAAATGAGGAGGCAGACTTGATTTCTAGGCCTGTGAGAGGTGCGTAGCAACAGCCAAAGCCATCAGTGAGTTGTGCGATATTTTGTGCTTGGAGGTAGTAAGGGAAGATGGGGAAAGGGAATAAATGGTGGTGGAACAGACTTTTAAATTATTTTAGGAAAAGTAGTAGTAGTGAGGTTTCCCTGGGCTTTGGAATAATCCGGTGCCAGAAAATTAAATTAAGGGACCAAATGGCACTGTTCACCCAATCTCATTTAATTCAATTGGAGACTGATCTCCAGTTGCCCCATTAAGAGTAGACTATAAAAGTTAATGGCATCTCCATGTGTGTGTTATTCACTACGCTAGTCTGTCTTACACCCCACTGGGATCCTTGCATCCTATTTCATGGCTCCCTCAAGCCACATATAGGACAGCAAAATCTATAAGAGACCAGTCTTTTGCCTTTCCACAGCTCAGGTGAGCAAGTCTTGCAGATGCTTGGAAGCAAAGTGCCTGCAGCCACCTGTGAGACTGAAATGCAGGTAGGGGCCGTAGGATCACCCAGGTTTGCAGGTGGTCACCCCAGGATCTGCAGGCATACCACCAGGCTGCCTGGAAGAGTTGGGTACTCCTCTCCTGCTGTCCCGGAGGGAAGCAGGCTGTCAGCTGGTTAGGACGGTGGCTCTTTGACACCATTCCTTGCGACAATTAACCCAGCAGGGTCTGGGCCCTGAGCTGCTACCTCAGTGCAAAGAGGCTGCAGTAACAGCAGCAGCCCCGGAGGGCTGCTTCTGGAGGCAGAAATGTACCCTCGCCTGAGGCCCTCCCCAGGAAGGCCACAGAGGTACGCATGCATCTGACCTTCTTCAGACCAGGCTTGTTTCATGTGACATTCCTCCATTCCCCCGGGCAGACTCTCCCATCTTTCTTCCAGAAAACCTTTGTTTGTCTTTCCAGTCCGTAGCTGGGACCCACGCACCCATCACTCCTTGTCTCAGGCAGAGCCACTCTGTCTCCCGTTCCCCCTCCTGCCTGCGTGGTTGGGAGCAGCTTCCAGCGGGCACAGAGAAGGTCTGGGCTGCGTGGCCGGAGGGCACGTACCAGTGTTATGTTCCATGCAAACAATAGCATTAATGAGGTACATCCTGGGAAGAGGGTATGAAGTAGACACAAACCAGCTGTGCCTCTCGTTTCATACTGAATTTTCATATAGCCCTTTTGTGTCATCCTTAATGTGTTCCACAGTGCTGCTTCATAAAGCTTTAAGAAGGAAAGAAAAATCCCTGCTGCGTATATACATTGCAATTCTCATTAAATAATTTTGCCTTCATTTTCTCATCCCCTAAACTTTTTTCTTTCTGTGGTTTGTTTTTCTTTTGTAGCAGATAAAAAAATGATGGCCTCAGCATCCACAGCAGGAAACCAGCAGCTTTACTCCCAGGGAAGCCCATTTCAGCCAGGACATTCGGGAAAGACTTTCAGGTACTGTAGTCCAGATCCTGAACATATCAGCTTTTGTCTGATAGTGGGGGACTGTTCCGCTTCAGTCTAGTGGAAACAAAGCCAACCTAAGATGTAAGGGCTTTCCTTACATGAATGAACTTTGCCTTGTGTACACTTCACTCCTGTGTGATGTCTCAGCACTTAGGCTAGGCTTACAAGCTGAGATGATTTGGGTATCTCTGTTAAAAATAGTGGCTGGTAAGTAGATACTTGCTGTGATGATGTAATTGCAAAAAAGGCTAAGAAGCAGCAATAAATCATGAAGGGAAATCAATCTGAGAGGTGGTGGGTCAGGATCAGAGATCTGAGGAACTTTCAACCAAGCTAGAAAGGTGCAAAGATTTGATTTGCACTTAACAGCTGTTAGTACTTCTACAGGCTGCCCTGGAGGGCATCGGTGTGGACACCTCATTAAAGGGAACAGAAGGATGCTTTATCCATAGTCTTTGGTGAGGGCTGGGACATGGGCATAAATAGTTTTCTAGGGCGGCTTCCAAATACACATAAGGTGGTGGTCTGGAATTTTCTGAGGCATTTTTTTGTTATTCCAAGTGCGTGTCATTGCCTGCCAGCTGGCAGTACAAATTTGGCTAATCTGAAGTTTAAGAGTTTGCCTGTATTTCCTGTCACTTTTTGAGAGTGAGGTAACAGTGATTATATTTACCTTAGTGCCTTTCTTACCACCGTTCTGGGACTGTCATAGTGGAGTTTCATTTTCCTGGTTTGGGCCAACCAAGCTTGTGAAAATGAAGGAACAGCCATTTGGAGGCTGTCAGTTCCAGGAATTAGAAAACATCTGCAAACGATAATTTTATTTAATCTGATGTGTTCTTTAAGTTATAATTGCTAATAATCTCAGTGGGGAGAAGTAAAATCCCCGTGCATGTGTTTTGTCAGATTAAAAACAAGAATATCTTGGGAGGGGGATATGACAGTAAATTAAAATGTCTTTTAATTGGATATTGTATATTATTGGATGGTTGACTTGCCATCATGGGGTTTGACATGTGTTTTGTTTGTTTCCTTTGTTAATTCCTGATGTTTAACTATAGCTTTTTTCCTACTGCTGTTCTATTACATCAGATAATGACATATCTTCCAGCATTTCCACCATCAATGAACTGTCCTCCCTGAATGGTCTCCACGCTGGTCCGTTCAGTCACTGAGCCTGGGCAGCCTTTAGGCACTATTTTGCAGACTCCTGGTTTCAAAGTATACAGATGCAGTCCAAGCCCCTTAGACAATGGGACTTTCCAGTCCAGCTGGGAAGGTGTCAGCAGTAGGGCCAGGCCATCCCAGTAGCTGTTGTGTGCTTCCAAGTTCAGCCAGATTTAGATGGACTTTCTCATCCACATTTCCTTCTTTGGAGACTCTGTGGTAGTAAAAAAAATCAAATTAAAAAAAAAAAAAAAGAAAACAAACTCTACAAAGAATTTCTAAATACACGCTTTGCTTTTAGGCAGCTTAAGAAAGACAGAATAACAACTCCCATATTCAAATGCTTGCCACGTTTTGCTTACCACTCTGGGAGGGATTCTGTCAGTCTTCTGAGAGGATTCAGAGTCCTGCATCCTCTCTGCTCAGCCTTGTTTACTTCTTTTCACAATCTGCTCTCTTCTTTCTCTGTGAAATGATTGTGAAAATAGACAACAGGGAGGAGATTGGAGAAAACAACAAGCTGCCTCAGTTGATGCACAAAAGCATTTTTATATGTTGTCTCTTGTTTTTTTTTAATGCATTAAATACTGAACTAGTATGGAGCTAAGTGTTTATACACTTTGTGCTAGACTGATTTTATTCTTGCAATCCTTTTCAAGAGATTACAGAAGTCTAAATCAAAGTAATTTTGCCTTTTGTCTATTTGAACTGGTATTTTAGAATGCCAGTATGTTTCATAGTATTGTGATGGTTTTATGTCATTTTTTATAGACACATTGAACGATTAATTTTAATGTGATTATCAATATTTTGTATCTGGAATACTATTTGTGCATTGAGAATATATCCTACAAATGAGGCACTGTTTCTATTCCTTTAGTTCATCTGTGGTACATGTGCCTGGTGTGAACGACATACAGTCATCTTCATCAACAGGCCAGAATCTGACACAGATATCTCGCCAGCTAAATCAGAGTCAAGTTGCCTGGACAGGAAATCGCCCACCATTTCCAGGACAGGTATTGATTAAAGGTGTTTTATTTTCATGGTCATTAAAGATCTGCAATCTCTGTGCTTTTTTCAAAAGAATTAGTAAACCCCATTTATAATGTGATGAAATGTATTTTGTCATTATCATTTGTGGTTGGAGAGAAATCAGTTCCCCCACTTCTCTTCCTTGGCAGGTTATAACAATTTGAAATAGCTGCCTTATGCATAACTGCATTTAGTTTGTAGTAGTGCTCATAACAGTGGCGGTCACTACGCTGACATAAATCCTAGCAGAATGTCTCGGTCCTGCACTTATTTTTATGTGTGTCCTGAATGAAATAAAATAGGACAGCTGTTATGCTTTAGTATTGAGTCTGTGCACTAAATTTTTCTTGTACCAAGACCTTGCACCCAGCAATGTTACCCACAGTCAGCAGAGTTATCAGAAAAGGGCACATACAAATCCAGGCATGAATTCAGAGCAGAGGCTAGTTGGCCCATTGCCCCTCCATGAGCACTGCCCAGTGTAGCTCACGCTTTGTCCTGTGCTGGAGGAAACAGCACATCGCCCTGTGAGATGCCCTGCACTCAACGGTGTTAGCCCAGAAATCACTTCTTGTTCTGTGCAACAAGAAAAAAACTGGTTTGAATCTCTGTTAAAGACAAAGAATTTGTAATAATCATCTTTGATCTATCATTAATGCTGCTCTTAATCACTTTTGACTTTCCATTGTTTGGTAGACTAGAATGGCATGTTGGGGCGGACACTAAATAGTTTTTCAGTAACTGAATTATTTTCACATTGATCACTGATTCTTCCCAGCCCTCAGTGTGCCATGGTTATTTGGTCACACCTGTTTAATGAAATCCGGTTGTAACACTGACCTTTTTTTTTGAATGATATGGAATATGCTGAAATTGACTAAAAAAACCTACTTGTTCCTCTTACTGTCCAATTCTGGCCAAGTTTGTGTGTGAGTGTAGAGAAATTGGAATTCATTCATCATAAATAAAGTAAAATAGAGTTAAGCCTTGCTGAAGTGACACATTATGCTCTCACTGTCCTTGTAGAAACCTTTAGAAATGTACAATTTCTTTGCTTGGAACTGAGCTGAAGACTTAATAGCTTCTTCATCACGTTATATGCCTGTTGGGATCTGCCTTCCTCCCCCAGCTCCCCTCCATTTGTCCAAGAGAACAGCTTCACTTGAGTGCATTGATTGCCAATAACAGTGCACATCATTAGAAGTATCCAGAGTTGTAATCACCTTTAATTTCTATTTGTGGAACTTGTTAGGCACTGAGTTTTTCTTGGAACTGCTGGATTTGTTCATGATGTGGGCAACGGTTTAGAAGCATATTCTATATGTAGCATTATAGCTTGCTGTAGCACGTGACTTTGGAATGAGACACTTCACCTCCCTTAGTCTCAGTGTACATGTTGTACGTGTCTCAAAGGAGTCTGCAGTGTTTAATCATTTGTGTAACGTTCTTGGAGATCCTACAACAAAGCCATTATGTAGATGAAAATGACAGCAAGTTGGTTTTTAATACCCTTGAATTAACTCAGCTGCCTGGTTAAAGCAAAATTAAGACTACTCCCCTTCTCCCAGGGTTGGCGATTCACGCTCCCTCCCAAGCCTTCTACAAGGCGGAATAACTTTGCTGCCTGTACTTCTTATGCAGGGAGAGAAAGCAGCTCATTAGCTTTGAAACTTCTTTGGCCATTTTCCCACAAGCACTGGAAACTCTGGTCATCTGAGAACTGCAGATATTCTGCAAGACATTCAGATAACCGTGATTTTACTGTGATGCTGCAAAATCAAAACACCTGGCAAATAATGGTGAATTCTTTATACCTGTTCAGTTTGAAATTAATCCTTGTAATGAAGGTGAAGGAAATCCTGTTTTTCCAAATAGCTCTGATATTGAGTATATGTGAGTTAATCAGCAGGAGCACTGCAAATGTTTTATAGTCTGTTGTGTTCCTTATGCAGCAATGAGTTGGCTTTGACAGAAATTAAATGTGGCTGAGACAGGAATAATGTGCCTATTTGCATCTGCAGAGTTTATTTAATCTTTACTTTACATTGTTAAAAAATGAGTCTGCTGTGCTGTTCCTCAACAATAAAGCTCATTCCTTCTTTTACCCCTTATTCCTCAGCAAATTCCATCTCAGTCTGGCAAGGCACAGTCATCTCCCTTTGGGATTGGGACAAGTCACACCTACCCAGCTGATCCATCGTCATACAGCCCCCTTTCCAGCCCAGCCACCTCTTCTCCAAGTGGGAATGCCTACTCTAGCTTAGCAAACCGAAGTGCAGGGTTTGGTAAGTTTTAAATGACATAACACAGAAATGCACATAAAAATGAAATTTTCCAGCATTAACTTTGTTAAAAGTCCTCCAACCTGTTCTTTTGGTGGGCTGATGGGGAAGCCCCGGTGGTGAAAGGGTTTTGCTTTCTCCTGTTGAGCACAGTGGACAGAGATGACCCGTTCCCTCCATACTGCATCTCCCCCACATCCAACACACTTCAGAATATTGTGATGTTTTATGGTACGAGAGAACTTTTTTTTTTTCAGTAAATGATGTCATGAAAGATTCGAAAGTACACATCCTCCCAAGTTGTGGTCAGCAGGTTTGATTTCTTTTTACTTCTCGGGAGAACACTTAAATAGCACGAATTTACATTCTTTTAATTTCTCAACTTCCCTGACTGCATCGTGGTGTCCTCTTGCCCAACGATGGTTTGTTGGAGTTTTGCTGGAGACAGGATTTTTTTGTACCCCCACTGCTACTAACCTAATCAGAGTAGGTGCAATGTTTTGAAATGGTTTTCTTTTCCTATTACATGCTAATTTAGTGGCTTTCAGACTGTGACCCAATGGGTGACCCTTTGGTAAGTTTTCTGCACTCCACCAGCAGAATAATACTCAAGAGTAAAAAAATTATGGATCCACCAGTGAGAAACACATGTGGAGTCCATGAAAAATGTTGCTGGCTGTTAACAATGTACAATTCTAAAAAGCATAGGTAGCAGTGTGCTAATGCATGCCGGTTTTCTCTTGTCCCCTGAGAATAAAATTGGTACAGAACTGTCACAGATTAGCCTCACTGAGTGCAGACGTGTGCTGTGTTGCCTAGAAAAAGGGCGTTGAAACGGCGCTCTTCCCACAGAACTTATTCATGCCTCCATTTCCACCAGGCTTTGTACATTTGTTTATGAGACAGCCTTGCATTTCAAGCCCAAGCTACTTGGCAAGAATCCTTTCACCTAATGAGAAACATTTCCTGACCTACATCAGTTTGGATACTATTAATAACACAGCCTTCACAGAGATGAATGTCCTTAACCTCCGGCTGGCAGTACCATTTTGCTGAAAAGAAGCATCGTTTGCCTCACTGAGTTAATTTCAGTGTATTGTTCTGAGTGAAAAAACTTAAAAAAAAAAAATAAAATCCAAACAACCAAACTTGCAGCTTTCTTTTAAAGGGTAACAGATTAATTTTGTTTTGACCCATAAAATGGCTGCAGGGTTTCTGAGTCAGCTGAATTATTGGTTGTGGTAATGTCAGTAAGGGAAGAGTTGTAATTATCTGCTTCAGATGTGATAGAAATACGTCACTACAGCCTGTTTACTTTCCTGTAAAATGTTCACTTTATCTGTTTTGCATGGTTTAGCTGGTAGCCAAAAGGATTGCATTAAGCACGTGTTTCTGTATTTTCTGAAGCCATGACTATGAGTAGTGACTGATTTGACATGATCATGTCTGGTTATCAAAGACCTGACATAACACATGTGTGAAAATGGCACAGGAAATTTGGCATCCTTGGCAGAGGGCACTGATAATTGGGGAGAACCAGATCTACCCAGCTTGATTCTCTGCAGTGAGGGGATAATAGGCAAAAATAGCAGGAGTAGTCATATAGAAGCAAAAAGGGGCGGGGGAAAGGAGAAAAAGTTTGGAGGAAAAGCATAAACCTGGTGGCAAGCTTCCTAAAATGCTAATTCGTAGAAGGAGACACTGTAAGTAATTGAAGGAAAATTATTCAAAAATTTTAAACATTTGGGGCCAGTCTGTAGAAGTACAGGGTAAAATGAGTCAGTCCAGCTTAAGTGTGACCTGTGACTGTACTCACGAAAAGTGTACGTGTAATAGGTAACCAAAATACCTTGTGTGGCATCACGTTTTTTTCTGGTAGACTATTCAGATGAAATCCATCTCTCTGAAATGATAATTTTAAGTATATTTACTATAACACTGTGTTACTCTCTGAAATCTAAATGTCCTCAGACTTTTAAGAAACCATCTCCATACAAACAGGATAATAATTTGCTATAAACTGCATGTTAAATAAATCATTTTACAGCTGTGGTACTGGAGGACAAGATAGTCCAGCAAACAACACTCTGCATTTAATACAGCAATGTCTGCATTTAATACAGCAAGGCTGTTGTCTGTTGCTCTTACTGTTTTTACATCTGCTTACAAAATCTTACAACTGCTTGCATGCTTCATAGATGAGTAGGTAGCTGTGCACCCACTGCTCTGCAAGAATTAGTCTATTAAAGAGAGAGGGCATTCAGATGATGCAGTTTTGTTTTTAAGTACAATGGCAAATATTCCCTATTAGTGATTAAAAAGTGGTGGGGGAATGCTCAAAAATTGTCTTCCTGTGCCTGGTTCGTGGTGTCACTGCATTTTGCTGTAAGCAATTCACCTGCCATGCCTGTGCAGCCACAGCCGTGAGCTTTGCTCTCAGGTTGGCCCCCACCCTGCAGTCAGGGCTGAAACTCCCTTCAGCTTCCACCCTGCAGGGCCAGGGTGTCACTCGGGGTCTTTTCTTGAAGACTCAATTGCAAACACGGGCATTGATGGATGAAGCCTCAAAAGCAGGCAGGCGTTTTGAAGGAGCTCCTCTCTGACTTCTGCCTTTTCTCTCCCCGGCCAGCTGAAGGTGGCCAGAGCAGCGGCCAGTTCCAAGGGAGACCTTCCGAAGTCTGGTCCCAGTGGCAGAGCCAGCATCACAACCAGCAAAGCAGCGACCAGCATTCGCACCCGCAGCCCAGTCAGACCGAGGTGTTCCAGGTGAGGAGAGTTCAGTGAGCCCAAAGTCCTTCTGACAACTTCTCACTGCTGAGCTGAAGAACCGTGGCCCTCGATGACCGGGGTGCTAGCAGGGCTTGGAGCAACTTCTTCTGCTGCGTGTCGCCGTGGGTTTGCACTGCTGTTAGCTGGCATTACCTACAGCTGAGATGGTTTTGTTTTCTGCTGAAGAACAGCGTCCTTGTTGATTAAAAGTGCTGTTTACCCTTTTCTTTGCACCCCATACTTAGGCCTTATGTGTTTTGCAGAGAAGCCGTGAAGTAGTCCCCAATGGAGTGTCTTTCTTATCCCAGTGCAGGCCTCTCAAATCCCAGTCAAATCCAATTAGATATCAGTGCAATTCTCTTTGATAGTTCAAGCAGGAAAGGAGTGTGATACTGCATAGAAGATCGCAGCCACTAATTTTTGAAGGTTAAACCCATTCAGCTATCAATCCTCTTCGAGTACTTAATTTTGTAATACTGAATATCATTTTGGGTCTTCACTAAGGTCTTTTTCCTTGTATAACTTGTTTTTAAATTAGATCATGAAGACAGTTTGCAGCAAAACAATGTAGATAAATGCAGAAAAGACAGTTCAAGCCCCGAGCAAGGTTTAGAAGTGGGGCACCTCATTATCTGAGAAAGTAAATTCACCTGCAAGACCGGGCTTGTGCTCAGTTCCTTGCAGGAACGTTGAATATTAGCCTGAAAATATTCCTGTGTGAATGAACCATTGCTTCACACAGGCACAAATAACATCACTACATCTGGAGTAACTACTTGTCTGCATGCTTTTACCCTATGGCCCAGGCAAGCTTAATCTGTTGCATCTCTCTCTGTATGCAAAGTTTAATTGCTTTGCACATACCTTAACCCAAAAGCATATTCAGGGTAATTCCAGTGGAGCTGATGGCAGTGTGGTTCGATGGCCTGCAGAGACACGAGGCTCCAACCAGCGTCTTGCTTGTGTCTCAGGCAAATGCTGTGTCCCAGCAAATGTCTTTTGAAATTAGTGGGAAGGAGGGCCAAGGGAGAAAGAAAAAAAGGTAGAACTGGCCTCACGGAGCTCTTGGAGGTGACAGTGCATTTGGCGGGAATTAGGATAATAGCTGGATGTGATGACAAACTTGGATGAGCTCAGTTCAAAGGCCTCCAAGAAGTTGCTTGAACTGTTTGTGCCTGAAGCCAGCCCTGGGTTAGCTGGACATAAGGAGGGCGGCAGACTCGAGAGGGGAGCTACCCTGCCGTGTCTGTACCTGAGGAGACCTTGCCTCAGAGGCCCCAGCAGCAGAAATGCCTTCAAAGAGATGGAAATTTAAACAGGTGGGAGCAGCTACAACTTCCCCTTGGCTGGGGAGGAATGTGGGAAAACATAAAATAAGTACAAGCTTTGGTCAGAAAATGAAGGCTGACCTTGGCAGCTGAGAAACTGCCAGTTGTGTTCCCTGCCTCTTTCACCGCCATTGACAGGGATGCTACAGGGACCTTCAGGTGGATTTTAATCTGTCTTTATTTTGGGGTGACTTCTTAGTACACAGCAGCTCTCACGAGATCCTCCTTCACAGAGCAGACCCTGGGAGCTTTCTCATTCGCTCTTTAGTTTTTGTTTTATTGTAAGGATAATGAGCCATCCCTGGCAAAACTTGGCTTTGCAGTAAGAGCTTATTATTGTAAGGACTGACAGGAAAAGCAAGCGTAAACTCTGGTTTTCTCAGCAAGGGATATCTTTTCCCTGTGGCTTCGGTCTCTGGCTGAGAGGAAAGGTTGAGTATTTTTTAAAACCTCCTGCTGGGACCTCACGTGGCTCAAGACACGTGGGAGCAATTACCATGAAATCCCATTTCTCCTGAGAAGTTCCTGCTATTTTCTCTGCCTTTGTACATGCATGAAGGCTACTTGGGCATCTTGTTAGCTGGGGTGGATGTCCAGTCTTTGGTATTCTTTAGAAGATGAAGAGCAGTGATATGTTCACTTACGGAGTGCTGGTGAGGAGGTGAGACCCTCCCTAAACCCATGCTGATAGAGCAAGAGCTCCTTTCTGTAGGATGCAGGTGTGAGATGTTGAATACTTCCCATGTAGTGAAACCAGAGAGTTTGCTTCTCTCCATGTTTAACTACCCATTCCAAGGGGAACTGTTTATGCCTGGGAGGAGTATGGGGCAGCTGAAATGTGCCTTACTCAGAGGAGCAATGCCCTGCTAACGTCCCACCTCCCATTCAGAAACACTCCAGCATAAGTAGCACATAAACCTTAGCCCAACCCCCTGCACAGCTCTGTTTTTTACCTTATTTATATAACCTTTGGCCTTTTCTGGTTTTACACTGAAAAGATGAACAAGATACAGTTTGTGTCTGGATAACGTGTTAGCAAGTGACACTTCACTTTGATTTTTCCTTATCATGCAGGACATGCTGCCAATGCCGGGGGATCCGACACAGGGTACTGGCAATTACAACATTGAAGATTTTGCTGACCTGGGCATGTTTCCACCATTTTCTGAGTAGCTTGCGAAGCAGAAATGGAAGTTCTTCTCCAAGAAGATTCTGTAATTTTGGCTCTGCTTTTTCTGTGTTGCATCTCTGTAGAAGCTACTAAACCAGAAGACACATTTCTCATGTTTCAGATAGTGGTGTAGGGCTTGCTCTCTCCTCCTTGGGGTGCGCCAGTGCCAACAGAGGAGCTCCAGCACTTGTTAGTGTTCATTGACAGCTCCATTTTTATTTTTTATTTTATTTTATTGTCATCTACCTCAGAGATGAAAAACTTTGCTTGATTTAAAAAAAAAATCTCTGAGTCTTAAATATTTGAATGTGAATGATACCTAATATTTCCTTTGAATGGTAATTTTTAAATAGAGAACGAAGTAACAAAGACTAACAGAGAAAAGGTAAGGTAATGTCTTGCTACAGTGCCTACCGCTCAATTTCGATGCCTTGCTTTAAGCTTAAGTTTCTGGAAGCAGGTACAATATTCTGTTTTCTTTGATTCTTGTAGTTTTTAGGTCACTTTAAATGTGAGATTAAGCAACATCGTGTAGGCCTCTCTCACCAGAAGATTCAGCTCCGCCTTTTCTAACTTAAACTTGAATGTGTGTACATTTTGGTACTTTATGTATATCTTGTGCTGTATGAAGTGATTTCCTGTACTGGTTTCTTTTGCCTTTACAAAGGGTCCATTCTGGAGTGTATTGAAAAGGTTGATGATATATGTGGAGGATTTAGATACTGTGGGAGTCTCCATCACTTCACATAGGGTGTTCTTACTTTTAATTCAGGTGGTTCTCTATTCAGAACAAACATTTACTTACATAAGCTATTAGTCTGTTTTTGCACTGAATTGAGGCCTATAACTCTATACGTTTCTCACTGGCTGCTTTAATTTCTATTGGTTTTGCTTTCCCGAAAATACTGCCTCATAAAAAAATGACTGTAAACACATCAAGATTGCATTTTCTATATTAGCTGCATTTCCTTTCTGTGAAGTACTTTTTTATACTGTGAAACCTCACATTTTAACAGTGCAAGGTGGTGGCCTATTAAATCATTCAAGCTCATTTGCTGCAAGCAGTGAGATGGTTTTGTAGTGTATAATTTTTTTAGAGTGAGTTGGTAATAGATATCAGTTGGACTATTGTCCACACAGTGATAACTTGAATGTTCGCTTGGGTTCCCAAGCAATCACTTCTGTTAAACCCTGTTAACCCTATTCTGTTAAATATGGGATTTTCAGCTTACCAAGTACTTTGAGGACTCTTGACTATGCTGAATGCTATATGCTTTTCTGCAGAGGTAAGTTAATCACCTTCCTCTTGGGTGAGTCACCTACCATATGGCTTCATCAGAAATGTGGTAGATAGTTTTTTATTCAGTATTTCATTCACATGACAAGTTACAGGCACTGGGTTGTAAGGTCAGCGTTTTTATCCAGGTCATTTCTTCTGGGATGGGTGGAGAAGGAAGTGCTCACAAAGGATGAGTCCAGAGCTCCTGCGTGCAGGTTGTTCATAACCTTAGAGGTTGGATGGTGGTAACCAGCCTTTGGAGAGGAGGAAGGGGGCAGCTTCCCTCACCCTTTGCATATTCAGGGGCCATCACAGATCTTGAAACAGCAACCCCAGGGCATAGCCCCCATCTAGAAGATCTCAATGTCCGCAGCAATTCTTAGACTTCACAGCACTGAGGTCTGCCTTCTCATAGCTCCTCTGGAATTCTGGGGTGCCTCCGACGGGAGGCACCGTGCACATCACTGCAGGCCATATTGTCAGGGTAATACCCTGAAAAACAGGCGGGCCCCTGTCCTGCAGCTTGCTCTGGCCACACAGCTTTCATGCTGACAAGCAGTGCAGGTGGCTGGGCTGCAGCAAATGTGACCTCGGGACGCGGCTTTAGCAGTTAGCTGTATGGTGTTCCCATCTGAATTTGCTTTCTTGACCTCCTCTGAGAACAGCATGTAGTTTTCAATATCCAGGAAGAGTTCTTTCTACTTTCTCTCGCTAAATCTGGGACCAATCTCTTCCCCTATGTGCAAGTGGGGCTAGGGGCTCTTTTTTTTAGGAAATTTTTTTATATCTCTAGATGCAGTACCGGAGAGGGCTCAGAACTCCTGGTCTGTACTTGCCTCACCAAAATCACACTGCGAACAAATGAAAAACCTTGTGTCTATTCTCTCCCAGAGTCTGGGAAAATACCTTCTTAGGTGAGCAAGCCATGTGCTTACGCACTACTCTTCTAAATCCATGGATGTTTATTCTCTTGGAGCCTTCTCCCTTTCCGCTCGTGCTGCTCAGATGAATGACTGCTCATTGCATTAGACAGGCAAAGCTCTAGAAATTCATTGATGTCTGTAAAAGGTGCCTGGATGCTGCGCCGGCTGAGCGAGGTCAGTGTCTGTAGAGCAGGGCATACTTTTAAACGGGACTAATCACGAGGGAGAGAGCAATAGATGAGTAGTTTATATCTCTGCACAGAAGACATTTGACGTGATAAATGTCAGTTCTTCTAACGTTTTTAAAAAACATTGTAAAGTGAAAAATGAATTGAAAAAAATCCATTCCTTTGTTTTATTTTACCCAACAAAGTGCTTGAAGTATGTTTATAGTTTACTTTTGTTCATGAATTCAATCTAAAAAGAGGTTTTTTAAAGTAATTTTCTTTCTCCGAAAATCAGCGATTACTTCCTCAGTGTGTCATGGTTTTTATACTACTGTAGAAGTCTTCTTGTGTACAGAATTTGGTTGTGCAGTTAGAGTTGCACTGTTAGCAGAATTTCAAGCACATCTCTTTTTTTGTTACTGTTTTTTAAATACAGTATTATTTTTTTTTTATAGCAAATATGCCTGAGGTATCAGAGCATGGACTGCTTCTCACCTGGTAGACCACTCCTACCTTTCTGGTTGGGAAAGGGGATGGCTACTCTGTTATGGGGCAGTCGGGACAGTGCCAGGTTTGGGTTTTCCCTGTGAGCCATCATCATTCCCCATTTCTGTTCTGCCATCCCAGGCCAGCGCTTTCTTCTTGGCGTTTCCTCCCCTCCCGTTCCCGGCCACCCCATCTCTGCAGCCCCTTCCCACGCCCCAGTGGGAGGCAGGCGTTGGGTTGCCATTCCTGAGCCAGCAAGGAGGGAGCGCTTAATGATCTTAAAGTTTGGCAACTTTGTGCTTCTGACCGAGCAAACGAGCAAAGTTCAGCTATTTGCTACCGCGGCCGGGCGTCCTGCGCTGCCCTCGCCGTCTGCTGCCGTCGTGTCAGTGGCTTGCTCCGCTGAAACAGCCTCGTCCCAGGTCTTGTGGCTGAAAAAGCTGCGTAGCGTTGGCTGTGCTGTATCTTTTTGTCGCGTGTTTGGTTACTAAAGCAACTTACTTATCCTATAGCTGAAGTTGTCAAGTGCATTTGGAATGCTAATGTTTTTATTACGTGCCGTTGGTGTAGCTTTGCTGGCACTTTGGCTGCCGGTTTCCAGAATTTTACAGGTGGTGGATTTCTTGTTTCTTTTGTGGTTTTTTAAGCTGGAAATAAAGCTGTGATTTCTGATCAAACTGTGTTGCAAACACAGTGTTTCTTGAAACTGAATCTTTTGGTTTTTAAACTGATGGAGGACGAAACTGCAAATAGTAATGGTCTGAGTGAGTTATTTCAATGAGCGGGCATGTAGACTGAGAAGATTTTTAGATACTAAAATATTTATATTCATTTATTCAGACAAGCAATCCTGTGACACAAGAGGAACTCCATCACATTGCTTGTTACAAGCGCTACTGGCAGTACCTATGGTGATGCTTTTAACCAGATAGTTCCATTTGTAGCTTTGTTGCCTTTTTTTTTTTCTTTTGAAGTACAGTATGAAACTGTAAATACTTCTTGCAGTACTGCCTTTTTAACTCTTAATTACTTTTGGCACAGTGTTAAATAGTGTTGGATTTACCCAATTGCTATGACATATATTTTTATACATAGGTGTACTCTTTTTTCGAGAATAATACAGCCATTTTGTCATTAATGCCTTATCAGTGTCATACTGCTGTTGCTCTTTGTTTGCAAGGTATCGAGTGGACTAATTTCTAGTTCAGGTATTTTCACTTTTCCTGGCAGTGCTCAAGTTTGGCTTCAGGTGATTTTTGCCAGAGTCCCATTTTTCACAGTTGTTAGCTGTGAGAAGAGGAGAATGTGGGCTTGGTTTTGTTTCTATTAATGGAGCAAAGAGAAGGCGATGGCATCTAATTGTCTGTAAAAGGTCAGTCTTTTCCTACTCTAAACCAGAGTGCATTTCACGGAACTGATGACTGTGGGCACTGATTACTTTGTGTAGATTAATGGTCTTAAAAAAAAAAAAAAAAAAAAAAAAAAAAGAAACAGAAAAAAAGAAAAAAAAAAAAGAAAAGAAAAAAAAGAAGCAAAATAGAACAACTCCAAAAATGGGCTTCTGTCATTGTTAGGCACTTGGTTACGTATCTGTTTAAACTCTTCATATTGATGTGAAATTGTGCTGTGGATAAAGTGTATTTTGTACTTCTGAATGTTCTATATTTATGACTAACAAGTACAGAATCAGTTGTGTGTATGTATAACTAATAACTGCCTTTTTAAATTTCATTAAAATAAAAATGTCATGAACTGTTGTTAATTCCTGTCTTTCTGTAAATAAGTAAGATACGCTATTGGGAATCATCAAGTAGGAAATAACCCTGAATTATAAATTCATGCCAAGAATCAGAAGATTGGGTATTGATCTTTGTCTTTGGAATCTCCCCGTCCATGAGCACACAGCATAGGAGAAGTTCCCCTTTTATCTGTCTTGTATAAAGGCTGTCCAGATGGAGCGGGAGAGGAATGGTAGTTTGTGATCTCAACTTTTAAAAGAAGTTCCAGAAAAACATTAACAGCCCTGTTCTGCTGATGACGCTGAGGTGTGTGAATCAGTATCTGTATTGTAGAGGGTTTCATTTGAGCACAATTGATTTAGAATTAATTCATAGTCTGTAGCAGTTTTTATTCACTCCCTGGGGTGGTAACACAGTGCATTCTTTGTTCACCTTTTGGTCTCATTGTTCAAAGTTTAAAAATACTTGTATCCTTCCCACAAACATTCTGGTGACCTTTTCAGACTTTCTTATGTAAAGTGCGTTTGCCTTTCACTGTGGTTCTTGATTGTATTTGTACTGCATTTCTTTGTTGACTTGATAGTTTGTGAGTGGGATTTACCTTGCTAATAAATCCAAAAAGCTGATGACTGGACCACGGCAGTAGCTGAAGGCGTGGTGCTCTCAGGCGTGCATTCCTCGTGCAGGGTAGGTGGTGTTTTCACAGCTCGTACGCCATTTTCAGGGCACTGCTGGTGGAGAACAGACACGGGCTCTGCTGGGACCCGGCGGGAAACCCGCAGCCAAGGCAGGGCGCTGAGATACGCTTAGTCAGACACGGCCACCAACACCAACTGCTCCGTCGGGCTCTGCTCAGTAACTGCTCATCCCAAAGAGAGAGGTGGAAATGTTCATGCTGGTTTGCTGTAAGAATTGGGTTCTCAGCAAAGTGATGCTCTTTTGGCATTTCCCCAGATGCTTGTGAAAATCTTTGAGGAATGGATATGCCTCAGACCATGAATGCCATTTGGAAATGCGCCGTACCTTCATCATGGCAGCTGTTTGGTGCTTTTTCAGTGCATTTTAATAGGCTCTTAGTTGCTTTTGAAGAACATTATCCAAACAGAAAGGCACACACCGAGCGGATGTTGCACAGGTGCCAAGCAGGGTATGGTGTGGTTGGGGTGTTTAGGATCCCTCCTAGCACTCCTTTCAGACTGATTGCCATCGACCTGTGCTCTTACGTGCTAAATCAAGTGTACGTCTGGGCACTAGCATAGCAACTGGATGTGAAAGTGGTGGGAGTTATTAATTTTGGTGTGGAATCCAGATTTAATGATACTGGATGTGAAATCGAGCCAAATGTTTAATAGTCGCTACAGCTCCGCATGGCGGGACACCATGGTAGAAATCCACACACAGAGACTGGCATACAGGAAAGAAATGCAGTTGGTGCTCACTGAATCCCTACATTTATCATTTTTGGCTTTATAAACTGGCACTAATGAGTAATAGCAACAGCTTAAGTCTTCATTATGATGATAGAAATGTATTTTTCTTATTTTTTCCGTGGGAGCTAATTCTTAGCCACATTTCCATCAATATACCATCATAGTTCAGGAAGTATTACTCATTTAATTTTCCCAGTTTATGTCCAAGTTGGATGTAACAGGGACAGATACAGAATGAATTCTTCCATCCTTTTTCACCAAGTTTCAGCATATTCCTGATTGGAAATACTTGGCAGCATCTTTCTTCAAACTTCTTGGTCTGGCCCACATAAAATAAAATGGAATCACTTGAACTGTATTAATGGATTTGGGATCAGGTCCAGAGGTTGCTAGGGCATCTTTTCATTAGCTCTGGAAAAAATTATCTTCTAATTATAGACTGGCACTACATACTAATATACAAAATGTGCCATTTGGGACCCAATTGAAAAAAAAAAAAATGTCAACCCAAGTTTCACACATGGAAGATGCAGCAGTGCTTAAGTGCAGTTATCACGGCTTTTGCAGACAAAAATGTAACAGCTGTACACACATTTCTGTAATTACAAATACGCAGGCACAGCTCTGAGGGACAGAAGAAAGCCCCAACCACAGCTTGGGAAGGAAGCCTGCCCCAGCGCACGCACCCTGTTAGAGAAGATTAAATCACCCAACGCTTCGGCGTGCTGCTGCCTCTTACAGATGGCAAGATCCTCTTCTTAGCTGAGAAGGTGAGGTTTTAAATACTTGAAATGCTTTTAAAAACAGGACTCGAAGCATGGAAGCACTGCAGTGTTGAACTACTTTGGTGCACCCTATCATCGTAAACACGTTTTGGATGGCTCCCACAGCCTCCCCCAGGGACGCTGCCCATCCCTGGTTGCTGTGGCTAATGACCCTTCCCTTGGACCCCAAAGCAATTCTGTGTGTGGCCCTAGCAGGAGGCAGCTTTGGTCTGCAAAATAAAATCACAGTATAGTTATTTTCCGCTTAACTCTGGAATTAGTGGCCAGATTGACCTATTATCACTGAGGAGCAAAGATTTTGAAGGCTTAAGTTGCTCCTTTCTTTTTAGCTTTGAGACCTCCTCTTTGCTAAATAAACACAAGAGAAAATGCTGCCCTGGCACACATACACACAACCCACACTGTCTTCACTTCAGTGCATGTAGCAGGAGGTGAAGACTGGATCGTAATACTTTCCACTTAACAAAGGAATTTGTACTGTGAGATTGATCTCAAAAGCAGCCCTCTTCTCTCTTGATTTCCCTTGTTGCATGCAATTTCAACTTGTCCAGGGCTAAATGTGTGTGAAGGCCCAGGACAAGGGATACCAAAACATGACTCACAGAGGAGACACGCTGCAGCATTCTTTCCTTCACACTCAACCAAATGTCACAGCTTTGTTTCTGGTTCACATAATTCCGAGGAAAAGACATCAGGAGGCAACACCGGACAATGCTGGTGACTGAATAATTAAATTAATTTTATTTTTTTTAAAAAAGGAACTCTCAGTGGGTACATCACATCCTCCCTCTGTTACCTGCTGCTGCCTTCTCCAGCTACCAACAGAGCACAGAGTACTCAAAATTTAGGGTTCTTTGAGGTAATCTGGGTTGGGAAAGACGCAGTCTGCTTGCCCCGCCGTGATCTGCTGTGGGAAGCATGAGTGTGCATGAAGCATCCTTTCTTCATAAAAGAGGTAATTAAAAAAAAAACAGCTCTTGACCCACTTGCAGTGTCCCCTTGGCACCAGCTTGCAGAGGTGGGCTCGCAGTCCTCCCTTCACCTCCCTGTTCCCCGCGGTGCTCTCCAGTATGTGACTGCTCAACCACCCAGAGCTCCTGCAGGTCTCTAGAACAGAATAACCTATGCTATAGTAAAAGAAAATCTGTGTTTGGACATGGATTTTACGCAGCATCGACTAATCATGGCCTCTTCCTTTAATACCAAGCACATGTGTCATGGTGGTTGTCTTCTGTAGTCAGGAAAAGTTCTTGCCCGATTTATTCAGTGACATAGGAAGAGGCCTCCTTTCTCACTGTACCCATGAAGCTTAAAATATGAATGTTTGCATCTGTGCTGATAATGGGCAGAAAAATAACAAACCCTTTAACTGAAAAATGTCATGATTTTATTTTATGCAACCCTGAAACTAGATGGTAACAGCTTTATGAAGAATTTGCAGAACTGATACCTTGTTAACCTGAAGTTCTTCTCTTATCCATTGTCTTTTTAAAAAATGCATTTGGTGGGGTTGAGAAAAAAAGGTATGCATTGAAATTTGTGAAATTCATATGAAAACTTTTAATTATTGAGAAACTAAAAATGTTGTGCACTTCCTTTAAGCCATATTGATGCCTCCATTGCACAGAGATGCTTAATCTAAATGTGTTCTGAATTGGAGTTTATTTAGATTTTTAACATATTTTTTGTGACCTCCATGATTTAAGGTCAGAGACCTCAGCAGGGAGTCAATGGAAGTTGTCATTTTAATCATTTTATTCTAAAGATTCATCAGAGTTATGTGAACTGACCTAAATTTTCAGATCCTGCTGAGGGAGTGGGGTTCTGCACTAACCTACCAAGGTTGACCTGGATAGATCATCAGGTAATGAAATACTGGAGCAAACCCACTGAAGCAAGTGTCAATTATATAAATAAGGCTACTAAAAAACAAAAGCCCTAATTCAGTAAATGGTAATATTTGCTATTTATAGATCACCATAGATATGCATGACACTGCATCGCCGACACCCACTCTGAGCTCAGGCAACAGATTTCCTTTGACAGGTTTGTAAAATCCCCATTTTATCTCTTGCACCACTGTGTCAGTAAAGGGTGGGTAAGTAGATTTTTGCACTGATGTTAATAAGGTGTCAAGGCAATTTTACAAGACTGTTTTAAAACCAGTCAAGACTTCAGCATCGAAAAGAGAACTTTATTAGCAGGGGTGGGAATATCAGATAGCAGATTCCTGTTTTTCTCTTGGTTTTGTGCTCGTTCTCCCATCAGGAGTATGTTTCACAGCCATTTAAAACACTGGAGCTGAGCTTCCAGCAACAAGTCCTTTAATAACTCCTAAAATTGGGTTAAAGATACCCTGAAGGCTCAAATTTCTTTGCTGTTAAAGTTTGCGATATAGAAGAGAAAATCTCTAATAAAAAAAAAAAAAAAAAAACAAAAAAAAAAAACAACTTTCAGTTTCTTTCTGTTGTTTCTCATGAAGATATGCACTAAATGCTGTGTTTTTCAGATTTTAAAGACCTTTGAAAATGAGTTAAAAAACTGTACTTTTCTCAAATGTGTCCAGAAATGCTGCTGAAACGTTTGCCACCTTCCTCCGTTCCTCACCGAGCTTGGAGCTGGGCAGTAGTGGAGGAGGAGGCCTGATGCCTGAACCGCAGGTCGCAGTGGGGCTTTGCAGCCACAGCCTGTGACTCAGGACGTTCAGTTTGGACATTTGGAAAAACTTCTTCACTCAGAGAGCTTGTGCAGCGTGGGAACAGGCTGCCAAGGTGTCCTGCTGTCTCCATCCTTGGCTGGCCAGAGCCTTGGCTGGCCAGGTATCAAGCTGGGGAGAGCCCCATACCCAGGAGGTAGAAGAGGTGGGTCTGTGGGTCCCGTACCTCCAGTGTTCCTGGGATTTGGTGGGGTCAGCTCCAGTGCTCAGCACAACCCCCATCAGAGAAGACACCGAGATCCCTATGTGATCACTGACCCTGAGTCAGTTAAAAAGTCCAGCTGGCCTCCCCAGCAAGTTAGAGCAGCCGCAGGACTTTCTCAGGCTGTGGCCACCTCCAGCTCAGTCTCTTTCACGCCTTGACACATCCTTTCCCCATATCCAGAAGCCCTGAGAAACTGCTTTGTACCACACTGCCTCTCAGATGTTATGCCGCCTAGCTGTTCCCACACCCATCCTCCTTTGCAGAAATTTGCTCTACAAAGAGCAGACCAGTTCTCTAAAATGACTCAAGTTGTTGACAAAAATCCCCTCAAGCTGCTGACAAAACCCCAGAGAGACAGTCTATCAGCAAGGCCAGTCCCTGAGTTTTGCAAGCAACTTTTCCTTTTTATTACAGGCCCTGAGAAACCAAGAGAAGGGAAGAAAGGAGTCGGAGTGAAGCAACAAAATAGCTATTGCCTGATTTGGAACGTTTTTTGCT